AATAAATGGGTTGACTCCCATAACTAAAAGTCCCATGAAGTTTCAAAATATGTGGACCACTCATGAGGTTTTTGATAGTATTGTCAACAACTCTTGGCAGGAGTTTGTTCTCGCTGGTTTTAAAATGTTCCAACTTTGCACTAAGTTGAAGAGGCTAAAACCTAAGTTACGTGAGTTAAATGCCCATCATTTTTCTCACATCTCTAGAAGGGCTGAAGAAGCCAATACAACTCTCATCTCCTTGAAGAATCAACTGCTGCAGAACCCAGAAGATCAATCCCTCCACAGTGCAGTGTGTACTCAACAAAGAAAAGCCATGAATCTTCTTGAAGCTGAGAGACTCTATCTCACTCAAAAGGCAAAGAGTGACTTTGTTAATCTAAGTGATAAGGCCAACTTCTTCTTCTATGCAATCATTCAAAGAAATCAAGCAAAGAATCGCATTAATGCAGTGAGAATGCCTGATGGCAATATGACCAACTCTCCCGATCAAGTAGCTGCTGAGTTTCTCTCCTTTTATATGAACCTGTTAGGGTCTGAGTCTCAAGTGCAGGATATCTCCCTCACCACTCTGCAAGAAGGCAAACTTTTAAGTCAACAGCAAGGAGACTCTCTCTTGGCTAATGTCACAGCAGAGGAAGTTAAGAATGCAATGTTTAGCATCCCAGATCACAAGGCACCTGGGCCTGATGGTTACTCGTCCAAGTTCTTCAAGTCCTCTTGGGATACTGTTGGGACAGAAGTTACAGAAGCTGTCCAAGAATTCTACAATAGTGGCAGGCTCCTGAAACAAGTGAATCACTCCCTTCTTGTCATGGTCCCCAAATCAAATCATGCTTCAGAGGTTACTGATTTTAGGCCCATTGCTTGCTGCAATGTGATCTATAAAGTTATTTCTAAGATCCTAGCTAGCAGGCTCTCCAAAGTGCTCCCTGATTTGATTGATCCAGCCCAAGCTGCTTTCGTCCCTGGAAGGAGCATGAATGAGAACATCTTTTTGCTACAGGAACTGCTCAAGGGTTATGCTAGAAAGAGAGTCTCTCCAAGATGCCTACTAAAGGTGGATCTCAGGAAGGCCTTTGATACCATAAACTGGTATTTCTTACTCAAGCTTCTAAGTGGGATAAATTTCCCTTGGCAATTTGTGAAGCTCATAAAAGAGTGTGTCACGACTACCTCCTACTCCATCTCCTTAAATGACACATTATATGGTTATTTCAAAGGTAAGAGGGGGCTCAGGCAAGGAGATCCCCTCTCCCCACTACTTTTCGTTATCTCCATGGAATATCTATCACGACTAATGAGGACTTTATGGAGGGATAAGGATTATCACCCACACCCCAAGTGTATTGCTGTCAAGTTAAATCATCTCATCTTTGCAGATGATCTTATCTTATGCTCAAGAGGGGACTTTTTATCTGTTGAGAAGACTCTTAAGTGCTTTCACAACTTCAGCAGATGCTCTGGGTTGTACGCAAACAATGAAAAATCACAACTCTACATGGCAGGCGTGAAAGCAGATGTGTCTCATGAAATCAGGGACATTGCTCAGTTTGATGAGGGTATTTTTCCTTTTAGGTATCTTAGGATACCTTTGACAGCAACAGGGCTAAAAGTGTCACACTTCTCACCTCTAATTGAGAGGATTACTGAAGCTATCAAATGCTGGAGCAGCAATAATTTATCTTATGCAGGGAGGATCCAACTGTTGACTTCAGTTGTACGAGGCACCCTATGTTTCTGGATGAGAATTGTAAACATCCCTGCCTCTGTTCTCCACAAGATTATTGGCTGGAGCAGGAATTTCCTTTGGGGTGGTTCTAAGAAGCCTTTAGTGGCTTGGACATCTATCTGTACTCCAAAGAGTGAGGGTGGGTTAGGCCTTCTTAATTGGAGCTGCTGGAACAAAAGTCTTTTATCTAACATTATTTGGAAGTTTCATGCAAGTTTTGAGACCCTCTGGATCAGGTGGATCCATCATTATTACTTTCATGGGGACAACTTTTGGGACTTCTCTCCTCTTAGGGATGTTTCCCCCTTGATGAAGAGGATTTGTAAAATCAAAGATGAAATTATCACTGAAGTTAGCTCTTTGGAGACAGCCAAGACTGATATTGAAGATTGGGCTATCAACGGCAAATTCATTACTACCAAGGCGTACAATTTCTTCCGACCTAAGCAACAAACAGTATGGTGGGAGAAGACAGTATGGAAGAACTATCTTGTCCCTAGACACAGTTTCATCCTTTGGCTTGCTGCTAGAGGCAAGCTACTCACAAAGGATAGACTGAACTATATTGATCATGATCCCACATGTCTCTTATGCAGGCGAGAGGTTGAGACTACTGAGCACCTTTTCTTCAATTGCCAAACTACAAACAAAATCTGGAAGCATATTCTGTATTGGCTGGGAGACAATAGAGGACATAACTCCCTCAAAGCAGCGCTCAGGTGGCTCAAGTACAATGCTAAAGGTACTGGAATTCAAGCAAAAGCCAAACATATTGCACTAGCAACGACTATTTATATGATTTGGATGAACCAGAACACCAAAGTTTTTGAAGGAAAGGATTTCAACACGGATGAAATCCTTGTGAAAATCAAGAGGCAAATTTATCAGACCATCTTTCACTTGTTTCCTCGTATTGATGTAATAGCTTAGAGATTAGCATGTAATTGTTTTTCCTTGTATCTCCTTGATGTTTTCTTAGATCTTAGCTATAGGTTTAACTTGTAGCTTTGTATGACAGTAGGCTCAACTTGTAGTCTTGTATGACTTTGTTGCCTGATTCTTCCAAATAGCAAGTTTCTCGTTGGGTACATATATACAATTTACACTTGCCCAAAAAAAAAAAAAAAAAACAAAAGTATATTTAGTTTCCCCCTCTCCTTCTCCTTCCCTTTTCAATTATTACTGACTTTAATTATTTTTAGAATAAAAATCATTGACATTAAAATAAAATTTTCAAGAATAAAATCAAAATAATTTTGTTTCAATAAAGGTGTGATGTTAAACGAGAAAATAGGTTAAACCACTGAAATAATGAAGATAACTAACTAAAAATAATAACGAGTTATTATCACAAATACTACCACTTTAAATAGTACATAAGAAAAAATCAATTACGCTCATTAGCCTAATGAAATACAATATCAGCTTTTAATAATACACAATCAATATTGGGTGAGTTGTAAGAACATAAAAACCATAGCTGTTGGGCTTTTCTTTTCTTTTTTTTTGTCACGCAGACTTTTTCATATTTGTGAAAGCTGATGGTTTCTTTCTTTGGGTAAATTTCACTAAAAATTCTTTTTAAGAAAGAAAAATAAGAATGAAAATTAAGATTATGTTGTCATATACTAAAACCAACTCATGCATAAAATAAATTATAAATCAATTCTAATTTATATAAAAAAAAAATATTGTAAGAAAATTATAAAAGAACTCTTCCAAAACATATATGAATGTTTGAAATTTATCCTTGAATTAAAGCAATTCACACGACAATTTATCTTTCACGTTGACCCAAAAAAATCTATTAATGTATTATATATTTGATACAGATGTTAATTAAACTTAAAATCATGAGAATGAATCATTATTATTCTGAGTTTGATAAAAAAAATTGAATTAATCAAAGGCTCAATTAAATTCAGTTTTTTTTTTTTTTTTCACTTTAAAAGATATGAACGAGTACAAACTAAGGTGAGAACGAAGTCAACAATTATAATAGGTAATGCAATTTTTATCCGGTTTTTATCCTCATCTCTTTCTCAACTTCATACCTGAGTGCAAAAATAAGATTATTGCCTTTTACACTCTCATTTAAGTCATTAATACATTCTCTCTACATAGAAATATCTATACATAATTATGAAAATGAGATTGATATTTTAAGATTTATAATTTTAAAAATTAAAATTATTTTTATAAATATGTTATTGTCTTTCAAATTTATATGTATTTTGTTGTAAATCTTAACAACTACTATTCTTTTTAAATTATTGTAAAATATAGTAACTATTATTATTATTATTATTATTATTATTATTATTATTATTATTATTATGGTGTTCTTATACATAAAGATAGTTTTTAAATTATAATGACTACTTATTAAATGAAGACTAAATCATTAGTTATGCAAATATGATATGGTACATGTTTAAATATTTGTGTTCAAATATAAATATAAAGAGAAATGTTATATAGTACTTCCATTGTAATTTCTAATAATAAGGGAAATAAACTTTTGCATTCAGACCTCATGAAACTTTCCTATAGTTATGCCACTAAGGTAATCCTAACTGCTGCATGAGTATAACTTGAAGCAGCATGCAAAAATATTACATTGTCAATATTATTTGATACAATAATAAAAAAAATATCATATAACTACATATGAATTAGTTCAACTCCTTTTACATTCCTATTATTAGAATAAATATTAAAATGATTTATATTTATGAAAAATTGTTTCTTTTACATTGTTATTTTTATTTACTTCAATATCCTCGAAAAAATCATTAAAATAATTTTTTTTAAAACATAACTGAATTTTTTTACTATTAAACTTATAACAGATGTCATGTAAATTTACTGCATAAAAAATGCAACTAACATAAGCCCAAAAAAGAAATATTTTTGCTATGAAGAAAGAAGGTCATTGTGAACAAAAACTTGACATATTTCAAGATTAGCCTTGTCCAAACTGGTGAAACAAAAGCAAATTGCGACATTGAAAGAAAGCCGGAAAACAGATTCAGAGAGTACACTATCACAATAATCATCCTAATGGATTGATCTCTTGTCACTTGGAAATTAAACTAAAGAGATTGACCAATTGACAGGGGTGAGATATGTAATAAGAGTAGACAGCGTAGTTTTGCTCTATCAATCAATGACACCAAAACATCAATCAACAACACCTTTTCCATCTCAAGGAAAGTATCGGCGACTGTAGGAAAAAAAAAAAAAAGCTTCTGGGTGTCTTCAGTGGTCAGGACTCTGGATCCGCATTATGCCATCCCTTTGTGCAAGGAGGAATGGTCATAAACTCATCAAATTCTTTTACATGAATATCACAGCACTTCCACTGCAAAATAACGTGACAAAGGAAAAATAAATACAGTTCTCAGAGACCATGTTACAACTACCTAACAAGCATTGATTTAGAAAGAAATGAGATCAAACTAAGAACATTTAGTGAAACCACTCAATACTGACCCCTTTCACCCGGTCATGAAAAACAGCGGGGCCAGGATGGTAGCTGCAAGCCGTGTCATGATTATCCTTTTCCTTGAATGTTTGACCACATCCTTTATTTTTACATAGTTGGGGTTCATTTATATCGACTATCTTCTTCTGTTTCGGAGCCTGAACACTTGAATTGTTAACAGCAGAGGCATCTCCAGACAGATTTGCGGGCTTCTCTCCAACAACATTTACAGGTTTGCTTTGTGAACCTAAAGAAGAATGGAGAAGATTAGGTTTGGAAGCACGACATAGGGATTACTCAAAAAAAACTAATCAAAGGAGTTGTTGAGACGGTGCCATAAGCAAAAAGCATGTGAATACCATGATCTGAGCAAAAGAAACCCTGCCGGCATCTGGAACAAGAGTCCTTTGATGAAGCATTGGTTGAAGAAACAGCAGTTGGAGAGGGCTCGGTCTTCTTCTTCACGGGGGCAATTACTTGCTTAACTGCTGTATGTTTTCCTGTCTTACATCTAAATCACAGAGAAACTTTGATCAATATAAATAGAAAAATAATGGACAAAGCCATTTAATTTTTTGTACTCAGAATATTGACGCAAGAAAAATATGCTGTTTCATCATGAAAACCAATGAAAGAAGTATTCCAAACTCAACATACATATGCTCATTACATTACGTAAGATCTGATACTATAAAGAACCCCACAGAGATAAAATTAGACACAGGCAAAATCATCTATAGGAGATAATGAAGATGTCTCGAGGAGCAGCAGACATTTTCAATTGAAAATTGGTTTATAAGCAAATTTATACAAGAATAACTGCTAGGTGGAACCTCTTCTAATTTTCATCTCATTAATGTAACATTTAGAAACCATATTTCACCCAGTGAGCATTTACTCCCACCTCAAACACTATCAAGTATGAACTGGCAATGAAGAAGGACTCTTAACATTAAAAAGCAAAGATGGGAGATTTCAAATACAGCTCCTTGTACTTGAACAGGAGTATTCAGAAGGGTTTTCATGATTTTACTTCCCCATATAAGATGAAATCAACCCATGCAGAAGCGGTAAATAAAATTTAGACTAAAAAATCCATAATCAACCTTGCATATTTTGACTACCCATCTCTACGGTCAGTTTCCTTCCTACATAACAGAAAGTCATCTCTACGACCTATTAATAGTTTCTACACAAAACAAAAAAAGTGAACTCTTTCAAGTTGATCAGTTAACTGCAGACCAAACTTCACAATCTAAAACAGGCAACTAGAGAAAAGGAAAAGAAATGATCTCTCACCCTGGGATTTCCATAAACAAGCTAAAATCATGACTTCTTTTCTTGCAACAACTCCATTCTTTCGTTCCATCATGAAATATAGGCTGGAAATTAAAGTAGAATCATAATCAATTACAAGAAACTGATAACTAATCTTCACAGAAAGAATACACTGAGAAGAAATAGATTGATAGACATGAACTTACTCCCTGAACAAATGAAGTTGCCCCAGCAGCATTCAATCCAAATCCCAAACATGCCAGACAGAAAGTGAATCAGTAAGATCTCAAACAGATGCCTCGTCATAAATCAACAAAATGATATAACAGGGGATAAAAACTTTTACAAAGTTCACAATAATCAGAATGCAATAGTGATGATATTTAGCTAAAAGGATAGTACAAAAGCTCATGAAACAACAGTGTACACAAACAAAATTAAGCCAAAAGAGTTCATAGATGAACTAAACAGTATGGATGAAACTACTGGTTTTAGTAACATTTATTAATTCTTCAAGTAGAGCAATAGCCACTCCACTGCTCTCATGCCGCAATGGACAAGCAAGCAAGGTACTAGCTACCAAAGCTGGAGAGAAATTGAAAACTAGAACCAAATGACAAATCAAGACCATGAGAAAATAAGCATTAAGCATGATTGGTACAACATTATGTAGATAAAATAAAATGGAAAACAAACTACATACAAAGGGCCATGCTTAATAGTGTTGAGCACTAGCTAGGGAATTAAAAGGAGAAAGAAAGTTCTATTAGAAATCATATGGAAGCACATTAAAAATCAAAGGGAAGCTCATTATCTAAACATCTTAATAAAAAACTTTTCTCTTTTAATTCCTTAACCAATACCCTAAGAGTTCTGGTTAACATTTGTCCAAAGAAAAATAGAATCGATCTTATCAATAATTAAGAAAATATAATTGAACCAAATGATAAAGGGTTGGCTATTATCTCACACAACGAAAATTCATAATTGTTGTGCCATGTGTTGTCTCCTAAAGCTTTAAAATGAATTCCCTTTCTAAATTCTCAAAATTATAAACACTTTAAATTGAGACTTAAGAGTGAAAAGTATTATATTTTGAGACACTCATTTCAAGTGGATGCATAAGGGATGGAAGGCAAATAAATTGATTATCGTCACTAGCATGGTGGTTAAAATGACAATCTTACAAGTAAGATCATATAGTTTTACTATTTTCCCATGCCTCAGCAATTCCAATCACACTCAGACTCGTTTACTGTCATCAGTAGAATTGAATGATATCGCATTCTTACTTGTACGATACTGGGATTGAATGATTTATATGATCCTACTCAGACCCATTTCTTTGGAAAAAGCCTAATAAATAACCCAATTTTGGCTGACCCATTACACTAAAGCCCCAACCACCTTCACTTTAACACTGCACATCTATTTTCTGCTCCTCTGACTGAATACAAATATTTCAAATCCCTAGTCGGCTCTTTTACTTCTGAGTTCAGCACTTTAACTGCACCTCAGCATGGTGTTATTCTGCTTGTGCATTCAAGATTTGGTTAGTTTGCTTGTGGGTATGACTTGTTTTGGTGCAGTTACTCCTCTGTTTAGGATCCTCGGTTCAAGTTTCTGATCTATGCTGATTTACACTCCCCTAACCTATTCTTCTATTCATAATGTCTTTAAGTGGGAAAGGAACTGATGAGGAGGATAATGGGCGGTATAGGTACTTTGGAAGCATATCTGTTGGTGCTGTTGGTGGGGTTCAACATTTGGAAGTACCCTGACTTGCAAGTTTGTAGCCATAGTAATTTTAGGAGAATTTGTTTCTCCAATCTCAACAATAATGAGAAAATAAAGACTATAGATGTTAAGCAATTAGTTATTTATTACACTCCTGCACGTGTATGACGTGTATGTAATATAAGGCGATATCATGAGTAAGTATTCATGAGTTAATTTCCTCATCAATGATGGATATTTCTTACCATTGGCTCTAACGTGAGCTTAACCCAATCCCGCAAGAAAAGACACAAGCTTAAAGGAAACCGAGATCTTTAATCTACTGCAATAACGAATTACAACAAAAAAGGCCGAAGAACAGGGTTGAAGGCAAACCAATTTGTAGACAGATAAAATAACTATGGAATGATTGTTGAAAGGCTTACGCAATCTAATCAAGTGCTATTGAAACAAGAATAAAAGTTAGGGCAGGGCATTAAGTGAAAATAAAAATGAGTAGTTGTACAACAGAATTATCAGAAGTGAATGGGAAGAATACACATGTGTCGTGATAAAGATTGAAACTTGTATGAGGGTTGAGAGAGAGAGAGTACCGAATCATGGTATCGACAGGAACCATCTGGGTTGTCGTCCTCGGAGAAGGTGGCCTCGCACCCAATCCTCTGGCATCGAACTTTAAGGGCTGTATTCTCCATTCTGAAAGTGGACACAATCCCTGCGGTTTTTGTTTCGACAGATTTCAGGCGCAAGAAAATGATACGAGAAGAGTTTCTCTTGTGAGAACACCGAACTCAAACTGGTTGGGCTTTGACGCTGTTCAAATAAAGTAAAAAAAAAAAAAACTGTTCCCTCAGTTTCCAATTCACTTCCTGCCGGTTCCAGATTTTGAGATACAGTGATGAATTTTCAATCCCAACGTGGAAAAAAAAATCCATAATGGTTAGCAAATATTCACACTTTTTTTCTTTTACCAAACTTGTATAATTTTTTTGAAATTATTAAAGTATGAAACTTAAGAAAAACACATAAAAAATTATCATTGTAAAAGACGAATTTATCATAAAAAAAAAATCATGAACACGACTTCAAATTTTAATTTTAAAAAAATAATAAATATTATTTTTCAATTTTATTATGTACTTTTCGCACGACTTCAATTTATTTTATTTTTTAAAGAAATTAAATGAAATTACCTATTTATTTTCATACTTTTTAAAATTTTATCCATTTGGATAATTTAAAAAAATAAATTCATTCATTATTTTAATAATATAATTAATAGTATAGAAGCTATGTTGATACATATACATACGAAGATCTATTTATGAAGAAAGTAGTTTTATTGAAAAATAAATAAACTTGATGGGTGGATTGCTTTGTATTGAGTTAATAAATTATTTTAATATTGATAAATTAGATAATTTGTTTTATAATCTGGAACAGAGAAACCATGTATAGGTGCAGTGAATGAGATTGGTGATCAACCAATTGGCACAGAATATGATTCAAGAAAGTCTTTGTTCCAAGGTAACAATAAACTGTGATAAAGGGGTTTAGGATTTAAGGTGGGCTTGTTGGAGATTTTAGATTTATCTTTTTCAAATATTTTGGACTAACCTTTATAAAAAAAAATTAAAAAACATTATATAAAACCTTTATGAACTTATATTCACATTTCATACCCTACATATATATAAATTAATTCTAAAATCAAAAATTTAAATAAAATTTTAACTAATTTTTTTAAATAATAAAATTATGTTTCAACTTTTGTAATTTAAAATTTATAAACTTATTTTTTAATTTATCTATCATAAAATCTATTTTTTGTATTTGTCAGTTTAAAATATTTTAAGAAAGATATTTTTATGTTTAAAAATAAATAAATAAGAAGATACGAATGCCATTGGAGGCTGTTCATACGTAGAATTTGGGTTCGGCTTTCAGGGAGAGAATGAGTTTGAGACGGGATAAAAAAATTTGAATTTGGAAGGGTGGTGATGAAAATAATAAACAAATATTAATAGATTTTACCACATTGTAAGTTAAGTATATAATTTATCATATATAATCAGCAAGAAAAGAATATCATTTAATAAATTATTATTTTTACAAGTTAACGATAGAGATATAACCCTAAGAAATAAAAAAAAACAAACTATTATTTGTTTAAGACGAGTACTGGTTTAGTCAAAGTATGCAAATTAAACAACATATGTAAAGTAAAATTTTATTAAAAAAATTGAATCAATTACGTTATCCAGATCAATAATTATTTTTAACCTAGAGTGAATAAAATATACCGACACTAAATGAATTTGAGAATGGAAAAACTGTCATCTTTATTATACTCTACACAAATAGTTATATAAAACTTAAAATAACAACAATAATAATAATATATTATTGAAAACAATGTTTGTATGTTTACAATTTTTTATATTATTAATTTTTTAAAATAATTATTCACAAATCTTAGTTTTGATTCGATCATGATTTTATTTTAAAATGAGATATAAATAATTAAAATATATATATATATATATATATATATATATTAGTTTTATTTTAAATTTTTAAATGATTTAAAAATGTAGTACATAAAAACTATGATGTAATTGAAAATTCAATCTATGTTTTATATATTTAATTATATGTTTTTTTAATATAAAATAATAAATCAAAATATTAAATATATATTATTTTTGTATTTCCTTAATTTTAATTACACAATTTATAAATATATATTTTCTTAAAATTCTGTTTTCGTGATTATTTGTCTAATTTTTTTTAAAATTATATTTAAAAAGTAATATATACATTAATTTCCAATAAATTAAAAAATATAAAAGATGAATTAAGTAAATTTTCTATTGCTAAACAAATCCAGATAGATTAACAGTTTTTTATTTGACGAAAAAACTGGTGCTTATAACTCATACAGAGTTTGCCCGTGGAAACTTGTAAGGAAAAAAAATGGAACAATAATCCAAAATAAACCCAATGCTGTGCTAAGTTGCATTTAAACTTTAAAAGCTATTATTTCATGGTTGAAAGCAAATAAAAAAGCGCGTAGTGTCTGCTCAAGCTGTGATTAGACATACCCGGAACCTACCCATATACCAAAACCTTCAACTTGGATTTCTGGTATAACTTTTTTCCTTTGACAAAAACCATGCATTGGAATATAGCTGTCTTCAATTTTCGTCAATTCTCTGCGTTGGAAAAAGTTGGATCCATTTTTATTTTTATCCAGGAAAAAAAATAAACATGTTTTGTTATATTGCGACCAATAGGATGTTTATCTTTTTCAACCAGAAGCAATAAATTAAGTTTTTTATTTTATTTTTTAAAACCAGTTTATTACTAATGCTAATAGTGGGGTTTAGTCGAATTGGACACCATGCATGAAAGATTAGGCAACCTCGTAAATGTAGCCAGCACATGAACGCACCAGTTGTCCACGGTCCCAATGCAACGAACCGTGCCTATTTCACCGCTGAACCTGTCGATGCATGTTGATGGTCACCGCGGGATCTACAAATGTAGTATCCGAAACGGTGTCGTGTTAGAGTTGGATACTATGGTCGATGGTCCATTTATAACGGCTCACATGGTGCAGGGGAGGGACACTAGACGCAAACCACCAAAAATAATTGTTTCTAAAGAATCTTCATGGTCCAACAACACATTATATAGTGCATTTAATTAATTAATTAACAATAATTATACTATTTTTGTTGCCACTCTTTTCTTTAATTATTGCGCTTTGTCCGGATTCAGAACAAACATGATCACATGTAAACTAGGTTTTCTTTCCCATACTAACCCAACAATACACTTTAAACCTCAATCTTCTTTTCTCCTCTTTATTCATTTTATCAAATAATCCATCATAAACAATGTAGAAAAATAAAATAAACTAACTACAGAAATGCAACTATTTTTTCCGAAAAAAACTATAAAAAGAGAACCAAAGTTATCATACTTAAAAATTAAAGCTCAAAACTTCAATAAATAAAAATAATTACATTGATTTTGTAATATGTCATATTTATTTAAAAAAAGGAAAGAAAATGAAAGACCCCTAGCCATTACACGTATCTGCCCTGGTGATAATTGATTATTTTATGTTTACTTAGAGATGAGAGTTATGTAATTGAAAAATGTTGGATTTATATTAGATATTGGGAAAAAAAATCCAATAATGTCAAATAAAACCGTGTACGAATGTTAGTAAAATATTTGTCAAATAAAATCAAACTATTGCAGACTTGTCATAGAAGCTGTCATGTAATGCACATAACCATATGAAACAATAATCCTTATAGATTAACACAATAATTTTTTGTATATTTTTTATTTAATATATTTTTTAATAAATTTTCTACATTTTGTATTGTATTTTATTTTTAGATATGAGTATTTCTTATACTCAGTTTAATTAATTGATGTTATTTGTTTATAAAAAATAAAAAAAACCATATGAAACAACTATATGCACTCTCTACAATTAAACCTAAAATTGTTACTAAAACTGAATAAAAATCTAAAACTAATGTAACGATCATTTGTTCTTGCTTACTCTTTATCATTGTCATCTAAAATAGATAAATAAAATGAACGTGAAAAAAAAGTGATAATAGAATTATAAATATGTAACTAAATAAACATCTCCAAAAAAAAAATTTATGTCTACTTAGAGATGAGAGTTATGTAATTACAAAATGTTGGATTCATATTAGATATTGGGAAAAAAAATCCAATAATGTCAAATAAAACCGTGTACGAATGTTAGTAAAATATTTGTCAAATAAAAACAAACTATTGTAGACTTGTCATAGAAGCTGTCATGTAATGCACATAACCATATGAAACAACACTATATGCACTGTTTACAATTAAACCTAAAATTGTTACTAAAACTGAATAAAAATCTTAAACTAATGTAACCATCATATGTTCTTGCTTACTCTTTATCATCGTCATCTAACATAGATAAAAAAATGAACGTGAAAAAAAAGGTGGTAATAGGAATATAAATATGTAACTAAATAAACATCTTTAAAAAAAAATCTTTTATATAAGTATTTAAAAATTAAATTAAATATTTTATTATAGATCCAATAATTGAGTTACTTAAAATTTTATTAAAATTATTTATTTAAATATTTTTTAAAATTTTTAACAATTTTTTTATTTTTAAATAATTTAAATATAAAACTTACAATAAAATATTTATTTTTATTTTTAAATAATTTTTAATAATAACTCCTTTATTTAAAAAAAAAAAAATGACGAGGGAGAAGATATAAGGGTTGATGGGGATAAAAGGACGCGGTCCATGGCGTGTTTTTCATTCATTCATCTCGCATATATACCTTTCTTTAGCAAGGGTAGAAACAATTGACTTATGTGTAATTTTAAATAGATTTTTTCTATAAATATATGCATGTATAAATAACTATAAAAACAAATTAATCTTTATTATGAGTTAAAATTTATGCTGCAGACTTCATCTTTATAGTTTTTTAAATTTATTTCAAAAAGCTAGTGGTTTAAATTTATGCGAAAATAATCAATTTATTTATTTCTTACAAATCTTTAAAGAAATATTTATTTATTTTTTAGCTTAAAATATCATTTAAAATTTGTTTGATAATTTTAGAAAAAGTCATTTTATTTATGACTAGTAATATCGTTTCAAAAGTATATTTAAAATAAAAATGTTATATGACCTGTTTTAAAAATATTTTAATAATAATAATTCAATTTATATAAATTATTTTGCTTCATAAAAAAATATTTTTAACATTTTGTGGATTATAATAACATAAAAGAAAATTATTGGTTCATCAAGTTAATATTTTAATTATTTTAAAGGTAAAATAAATGTTTCTCCCAATATATTTGAATAAATAGTTATTTTTCCCATATTGAAAAAGAAGATATTAGGTTGAATTAGTGTAAACTGAGAGAACACAACATTCGTATTACTATTTTGTATATCCAACACAGGCACCGACAGTGAAACCACCTTTGTATGTGAAGGAAATAAAAAGCAAAATAAGAAAAATAAAAAAAACAACAAAATGTAAGACTCATAGTTGGAAGCTTGTCCTCTGCAAAGAGTGAACAAAGATATGTGCAAGATAAAAACTACTTCAAAATAAAGTTTTTTTTTTAATTATAAACTAGTATTTGTATTTTGTCTCCCTAGCTTTTGTATAAAATTGTTTCATATAATGTCCATTTAAATAGAGAAGAAAAAATTAAGTAAATTAAGTTAAACACTACATTTAGATTTAGTTATGAAAAAAATCATAATAACTTACATGAAAAATATTTAATTAAGTTTAATATAATTTTTAAAAAAGGACAGAAACAATTTATAATAAATAAACACACCAGTAGCAGTCACTAACTTTTCAAGAATAATTCAACACATCATTTGGTAAAAAAAAAGCTCAATAACATCAAATACAATTTCTAATACACTATAAAGTAATTAAATAATAATTCAAATAATTAATTTTAAAATACCGATATAAAATGTATATTTAAATGATTTTTTTACATAAAAGACATGTTTTTTTAAACGGCAAATAATTGTAATAATTTTTCTTTTCATAAAACTTTTATGATTGAAGTTTTTTAATTTAAATTTTAAAATATTTATAAATATAGAATCATAATATTTTTTAAAATATGTGCATTTACAATAATTTGAAAAAGACTCTTTAATGCATAACATACGTAATTACATTATATGAAATAATGAATTATACAATTTTTTTTCTCGTTGACAAAGAAAATTGTAAAAATAGAGGATGCATGTGATATTTGCATTAACTCACCCATCTACAATGATAATACGTAAAAATCTGTTTGGGACAAAATAAAAATATGAAAAAATAATTCAGATATTATTTATTATTTTTTAGTTAAGGACTAATTAAAAAATATATACATTTTAAAGATGGAAAGACAAAGGTGAGAAACGTAAGGAGATTTATTATTTTATTAAGGGAAGGTAATATACGTGAAGGTCGAAAAACCTACCGGAGAAATTACTGAGAAAAATAGAAGAGGCAAAACAATGACAACAAAGAATGAGAGGCACGTGTCACTTTGTTCAGTGAAACTCCTGTCGGTTGCTCCTGTGATAGGTAATCCACAGGACACGTGTCAGTCCACAGAGCCTATTTTTCATCCCTACAAACCTCCGCATCATCATCATCATCTCAGAACCTACCCTTTAAACCCAACACTTTCCATCCTCGTCCTCCTCCACCCCACCCCCACTTTTCCGGTTTTTTCCGCCGGAATATCGGTTATCAACTCTTCTCTCACTCTATCTCATGCTTCCCAAATCAATTCACCCCTCACTGGAACCTCAACCCAAAACACTTCACACCAAACCCACCCTCACTTCCCTCACCTCCCTCCTCAAACCTCGTTTCGCCCCCCAAAACCCTCACGCATGGATTCTGTTCTCCGTCCTCTTCATCCAGATCCTCCTCCTCTGCAACTTCCGCAGCTTCCCCACTTCAATTCCCACTCCTCTCCCCGCCGCTACTGTCCACCACTCTTCCCAAACCCTAGACCAATGCGCCTCCGGCAAGGTCTTCGTCTACGACCTCCCCCAACCCTTTAACTACGAAATCCTCCAGAATTGCGACAACCTCAATCCCTGGAGTTCCCGCTGCGACGCCCTCTCCAACCACGGGTTCGGCCGGAGCGCCGCCGCTCTCGCCGGAATCGTCCCTGATGATCTCCTCCCGGCGTGGCACTGGACGGACCAGTTCGTCACCGAAATCATCTTCCACGACCGATTATTAAACCACAGGTGTAGGGTTATGGAGCCGGAATCCGCTACGGCGTTTTACGTACCATTCTACGCTGGACTCGCGGTGGGGAAGTATCTCTGGTTAAACTCAACCGCAGAGGAACGCGATCGCCACTGCAACATGATTCTGCGCTGGGTTATGGACCAACCTTTTTTTAAAAGATCAAACGGTTGGGATCATTTTATTACCATGGGGCGCATCACGTGGGATTTTCGCCGCTCCAGGGACCGCGATTGGGGTTCTAGCTGCATCCACAAGCCTGGGATAAGAAACGTCACGCGCCTTCTCATTGAGCGCAACCCTTGGGACTATTTTGACGTCGGTGTTCCCTACCCCACCGGATTCCACCCGCGCTCCAAATCCGACGTCACGCACTGGCAGAACTTCGTCCGCGCGCGCCACCGCAACGCGCTCTTCTGCTTCGCCGGCGCGCCTCGCCGCGCGTTCCGCGACGACTTCCGCGGGGTTCTGCTGAGTCAGTGCCGCGACTCGGGCGAGTCGTGCCGCACCGTGAATTGCACCGGGACGCGGTGCTCCAACGGCACGTCGGCGATTCTCGAAACGTTTCTCGACTCGGATTTCTGCTTGCAGCCAAGAGGAGACAGCTTCACGCGCAGGTCCATTTTCGATTGCATGGTGGCTGGTTCGATTCCGGTTTTCTTCTGGCGGCGAACCGCGTACGTGCAGTATGAATGGTTCTTGCCAAGGGAACCGGGCAGTTACTCGGTTTACATAGACCATAACGCAGTGAGGAATGGAACCGTAACCGTGAAAAACGTGCTTGAGAAGTTCACCAAGGAGGAAGTGAGGCAAATGAGGGAGAAAGTGATCGAGTACATTCCGCGGTTGATTTACGCCAACGCGAAAGAAGGGTTAGAGGGTATGAAGGATGCCTTCGATGTTGCCATCGAAGGTGTCTTCAAAAGGTTTGAAAAACAGGAACAACCCCAGTTTCATAAGTGGAAATAACGGCCAAACAATACTTCGTTCCTCTTAGATTTAGAAATACTATAAATAAATAAAAAATGCTATATGTTTGATTCAGGTGACTTCGCCATATTAGAGTTCAATTTTTTTTTTTCTCAACACATGTTGTTCATAGATGCACAATGCTATGTACTATATTGATATTGTGATTCTTTTTACTACGATCAATTATGTATTTTTATGATAGAGATATATATTACTTGTGGATTTTTTACATGATGGCTGTTAATCCGTACCCCTTTTTAGCATACGGTTTGATGTAATTCTCAGCAAAACGATCAAATGGTGTCTCCTATGCTCTGATTAATTTACTCTGGTCCTGCTGCTTCAGGTTTTCTTCTGTTTTCTGGAGCAATCATGAGGTAGAGGAAACTGACACGATATGACAGAAAAATGCATTATAAAAACTACGTATTCTTGGATGTATTATTATCTACATTGGTATGATCTTTGTGAGCAAAGAACAGTACATGTGCTTTACAAAAAAATAATAATAATAATAAACTCATAAGTTGTAAACTTTTGTCTTCTGCGTGTCTTGTATAAATAATTTACTATCATTTAATGCAATGATTTTTGCTAGGAAAGAACAATGCATGTAGCCAATGAGTAAATGGCATAAAGGGAAAGTGTTGTGCGAATTGTCATTAGCAATGATAGACAAAAAGTTAAGATTTTACCCTCCTTCGATGCCAAAGTGATTAAGGGTCTTGCAAGGTCCTTTTATAAAATAGGGGGAATCTTTTTAATTCCTGCAATGGCTTTGTTGTCTTCAGAGGGTAACAAAGCCTGAAAATGGCCTGAATCTGAGGTCAAGATTTGTCGTCTGTCCACTGATTAATGAATAAGCAGAGTACTAATTGAGGTGAATGAATAAAGCACTATGAAGTATGTCATTCACAACTCATTAGTTTAAGACCTTTAGGATTACTGAAGTTCATTAGAAAAATAAACCAAAACAGTTCCCATAATTTTCAATTATTTCCATTTGACCCTTTTAGGATGAAGGCATCGTAACACGCTGCAGAACATGACACGTTAAAGCAAAAGAAAGTGCACTATTTTCTTAATATTGTTATCCAATTATTAAAAAAAAATGTCAATAACTTAATTGTGTAAAATAATAATAATTTGATAAGTGGTATTATTATAGTTAAAGAAGTATTAATAATTTTTTAAATGATTAAATGACATTAATATTAATAGTGACTTTTGAATTGTGTACATGTAATTGTAGAGATAAATTTTCACTCAAGTGTCACTTTAAACTATAGAACTAAAAACAAATATAGTTTTTCTACAGTTTAGAAATAAAAACAAATATAAATTATCATAATTAAAAAATAAATAAATATTTAGAAGAGAAATAAAAAAATCTCTATAAATTAAAATTAGTTAATATATAAACTAAAGGTAAATAAAAATATAAAAAATGATAAGAAATCATTTTCATATATTATTTTATGCATAAATTCATTATAAAACATAGATAAAAATTAGTTAATATATAAACTAAAGGTAAATAAAAATATAAAAAATTATAAGAAATCATTTTCATAAATTATTTTATGCATAAATTCATTATAAAACATAGATAAATTACTTTTTTTTGTCTTTTTTCTTAAAAAAATATTTATAATTTATAGTATTTTATCATAATTATTTTTAAATTAAAGAATATATATATATATATATATATATATATATATATATATATATATTAAAAATGTTATGTATGGCATAAATATAAACATGAACATAAAAGTCAATGATAAGATATTGTCTATCTAAATTATGGTTATTTTATATTTTTTTCCCATAATGAAGACAATAATTAATAAAAATAATTTGTAAATTCACTTTTAAATTATTAAAACATAAAATTAGAACAGACATATTAAAAACAAACATGTAAATCAATCAACACATTAAACACAACCAAGCATAATTTTTAAACATTCAACCCTAACTAAAATTAAAGAATATTGTAGACATAATAATTATTGTATTTATGTTATATAAATATATAATTTAGTTAATATACGCCTATTATATTTTTTATATTCACACCCATATTTATTAAATTTAAAGAGTAAATATCCATCTCATCCTTAAATAAGCGAATATATAATCTAGAATCAAATTTGAGTACACTTTGCTATTTAACGAGATTTTTTTAAATTAAAATAGTTAAATAAAAAGTAAGTAAATATGCATAAATGTAAAATTTATGTAATTAAAGAGAAAAAAATACTAAAAAAGATACTGTAAAATTAAATTTAATTAAATTGAATTGCTTGTCACATAGTTAAGTAATTATCAATCTAAAGTAGTTCATATCACACTTTTTACGTGAATTATAATTAAAAAAATGACGTTTTTTTATTATTTTATCTGATGAAATTAAATTTTTTTATTATGCATCCGAATTCGGTCTTTTAAAATTTAAAATATATTGTTTTCTATCCAAATATCTAATGTCATTAATGAATTGTTGAAGTGATTAAGAGATTGTTTGGTCAAAACTACAAATGTGGACATATAGGATTACACTATACCTCAGTAATTAACGTGTGAAGAGAATTTTGGTTAAAATAAAATTAATACAAATGTTGAAAATTGTTGACAAAGCACTGTTTACATTTTTTTTATTGCTCTATTTTCATAAGCAAAATATCATATTTGTTTTTTCTTGAATATAAGTCAATTTAAACTACTTTGGTTTATTTATTTTATTATATTTTTTTATGTTTTTATTTTAATTATTGTGTAACCATTAGTTACACAGCTTAATATGTATTTAGTGTTTATTCAGAACGATATTAAAATATTAATAAAATGTATTGTACTTTGATTTTACATTGGACCCATCAATATAATTTGGATTCCTTTCCCTTTTTTCTTCCCGGCCCATATTGCAGAGAGCCATCGGTGATGGTGGTTAATATTCCCACCCCTTATTTTAATCTTCACAGTCTTTTTTGTTTTCTTTTGTTTTTTTCTGCTCAAAATCTTTACTTTTACTTCCGTTATCCTCCCTCGTCTGGTTCTCATGGCACACCCTCACTTGGACCCCCATAAACTTAAGAAATAAAAGTAAATGATGTATGAAATTGGAATAATAATTATTCAAGTATTTAAAAAAAAATCATCAAAGAATATTTCAGAAAAATATTCTCACTAAAAATAAGAATTTAAATTTATAGTATAAAAATAAATGTGGTAATAAAGGGATAAAATTGGTTGACAAGATAAAACAATCGAAGATTTATGGAAAAAGCAACCCTAGGAAGTTTTTCCATATCCGTAGATACCAACCTATGTAATTTATATATTAATATTTAAATATTTAATTTAGATTAATATCATTTAATTGAAAAAATAAACAATTTATTTAACAATTGTTTTATTAAACATAAATTCAATTATTATGTAAACGGCTCGATTTTGAGTTTAATAATTATTTAACTCCTGGTTTATGGTATGTGATCTCATTGAATCTGACTAAGAAATAAATAAATAAAAAAGGTATTTTCATTCTACCACGTCAATACGATGTCGTATTATTTAATTTGGGCCTCACATTTTCTAAAATAAATATATGTACCGGACAAGTGTGCAACTCGTGGACATTTAATGCAAACATGATGTATACCTCGAAATTTACGTTAAGGGCCCTCGGCAGGAGTAAATCGTCAATTCCGAAAATTGGTAAATATTATTACTGAAAATATTTTCTTAATTTTATTGAAATAAAAATTAATTTCTTTAATTATTTTTTAATTTATTATCACATTAAATAATTAAAAAAGAATGATATATTATTTTATTTTTTTTAACTCAAAACAAATTATACTTTTATCCTTTCATGAAAATATTTTTGCGAAAAGCTAAAAATAATTTCCAAAATCTCAATTTATTGAAAATTTTATTTTTTTAAAAGAACAAACTAAACATTTATTGGATTTTTTTATGTGAATGATCCAAATAAAAATTTGACTTTAATATAAGAGTACATCGTTTTTAGAATAAAAATTTATCTTAGGTATGTATCAGCATAAATTACAAGATGAAATACTAATTTCATTAATAAACTGCAATAGAACAAGAAAACCTTTTATTATCCCACTATTACCCTCTCTGCGTTCTGCCTTTGTCTTTTGCACATAAAGGTAGAATTTTTGGCGAAGACAATGAAAGCCGTTTGGTTCACATCGCTCCTCGTTTATCTTGTGGAGTTCCTTCGGCTAAACTTTCAGCTTTCAGAACAAAAAGATGATAAAAAAGGTTATTTTTCTGCTCTTCTTGGCCTCTGGATTGACCCTCTCAGTTTCAGAGTCCCAATCTGTTTCTCTTCTGCCTCATGCTGCGGAGTCCTTCAATGTCAGCTATATCCAGGTATTTCTGACTATTGCCTCTCATGAACCAAACCCTTTTGTTATCTATCTCTTTCCCTTTTTTCAAAATTTTTTATTGCTATTTTTATAAAATGACGACTTCATAATATTTTCGTAAACAGCTGAAGAACGCGGGGAGTTGTTCTTACTTGGTGGTTATATCTACTAGTTGTTCGTCTCCTAAGTATACAAGGGACCAGATCAGTATTGCTTTTGGGGATGCTTATGGCAACCAGGTTTTGCTTCTCATCCAATTTCTTCATTTATGTATTGCCCTTTCTTGTAGTGAAAGAGGAATATGTTTATTAGGATAAAGTTTGAATTTTAAGTGAAATTATCTCTAGTGTGTTTACTGTGTTGGTTCATGTGGAATTGTGAACAAACCAACTATTGAAATTGGACTTGGCATCATGGCAATTTGGTTGGATCATCTTTCTTCCGTTATTAATTTTTTGGGTGGAGGATTTTTTGTTTTGGGCATATCTGCATTGCATATGAATCTCGGGCTTCATTTGTTGATATTTTGTTATGTTCTCCGTAGATTAATTCATCATGTCACTTATTGGTTCTAATGTGTCCGAATTGCTTCCATGTTTGTGTGTAGAAAGGTTAACTGTGGAACACATACACAGACTTCATTTTCCTTGGCTAGCTATTTAATTAAGTTGAGTCTCCAACTGATAAAGTTTATAAGCAGTTAGAATATTTCCTTGCTTACTTTTGGTCAAACGTGTCATGAGTCTAACAGCAAAGATAACTGTACAAGTTGACTTGGCTGAATGATGGGTTTCTATTGTGATATGCGTTTGGTCACTATAAACAGATCAATGGCTTTTGAATCCGTGTTTGTAAATCGCACATAACAGATTCAAATTGGAACCTGAAAAAAAGAAGGGCCTCAACAGGCTCATACATCTAGCTAACCAAAGAAGCTTTAGTTTGAGTAAGAAGTTAATTAAAATGTACTGAAAGTGTTGAGGTTATTTACATTGTCATCTAATCTATATTGTTTTACCCGGTATAAGATTGTTGGTTTTTGTAATGACAGTTTTGAAAGTCATATCTAAAGTGATATCTAATTAGTTGATAGTGTAAAATATTTGTAGGATATTAAAATTAAACCCTTTGAATAATTAGAAATTCATATTTTAGTTCTTTCACATATTACCAGATATATGTTCCAAGACTGGATGATCCAGCTTCAGGTACATTTGAGAGCTGTTCTTCAGATACATTTCAGATAAATGGTCCATGTGCGTATCAGATATGTTATGTGTACCTATATAGACAAGGATCAGATGGTTGGAAGCCTGAAAGTGTGAAAATCAATAGTTATAATGGCAGGCCTGTTACTTTCTATTACAACACATATGTCCCCAGAGATACTTGGTATGGATTTGATTTGTGCAACGGTGCTTCTTCTTCTTCGTATCAGGTATCAAAGCAGAAATGGCTCATATTTATGATTCTAGGATTTGTTCTGAGTTTTTGGTTGTAAGTTTGTGTAGTTGTTATCTTATAAATTTCCTGCTCATTTGTACCCAAAACTTAGCACCATATGTTGAAGTAGAGACACTAGATGTGTAAAACCTTTGTCTAAATTCAGTTTCTTACTTTGCATTCTTTTTTAATTTTTTCTTATGATTATGGTGTGCTTATTGTTAGCACAAGGAGTTGGAGAGTGATGTTGCAAATTTAGCACCCTAGTATGTGCCGTACGCTTCATGTTCATTTAGACCAACAATTGTCAAACTTTTCATCAATCCGGTTAGCTTCTTCACGGGTCAAGCTAACTTCTGATCATAGAACATATCTACTACACGTTTCAGTAACCTTCCGGGTTCATCAAACGTTACAGAAAAAAAAAATGCTTGTTCTGGTACGCTTATATGCTTATGAACATGTTCTTTCAAGCATTTGTCAGTAGGTTCCAATACTTTTTACTTGTTTTTCTGCTTTGTTGACTCTTTTTCTGGTGGATTTTTGGCTACCATAACCAGTTTGGTGATCCTCAAATATTCTTAATTGCTTTAAAACTTGAAATCGATTTGTCCTTTTTCTAATACAAAACTTGAAATCTTAATTGCATTTATAAATTTCACATTTATTTATATAGTTATAAAATAAAGGGCTAAGATGTTAGATTAAACTTTAATTGAATATGATCTTCATCCTAATGATCAAACATATATCTGTAATCCCATACTGTATACATGTTATAAACTAAATGCGAAAGCGTACCTGAATTGGCCATAATGACGATATCCTTTGTAGAGCACTTTTGATTTGATCTTATGGTCTTCCACCTGAAGAGCACTTGTATTTCCCTCTTGATTTTCTCTCTTGATGGGGATAGAAAGAAAAGAACGGGACTGTAACTTTGTTTTTCTGTGTGCTCTCAGAAGGGGACCATGACCCTTTATATAACCAAAATTAGGTTAATTACTTAAGTTTTAGTATTTTCAATTTGACCCCTCATCAAATTAAAAATTACTCTATGGTCTCTACACAATCATATTTTCATGACATATGCCTTTAGCCAAAACTTTAATTTATTCAGATCACTTTATTATTTGGCTTAATAAATAATGACCCTAACACATTTAAATATGTATCATATATATACATGACCCAAAATTTGTCAACAATCTCCCACTGGTCACAAATATATATGTTTTTACAACCTTACAAATGTGTTAGACTTTATGAGCTCAAAATTGTCATTATATTCCTTTAGCATATTCCAAAAGTCCTGTTCATTAATCATATCAGGATATAGAACCAAACCAGCTTTTCATTGCATCATCGCAACTAAAACCAACAAGATTACTCATCCTGACATAACCAAATGACATGGATTCATCATGAAATGTGTAGCATGAAAAATTACGTGAAGGTGATCTGTACACGTCTATTTTCAACTGGTCCAAACTTTAACTTATCGAGATCGATACAATAACCTTAATGTACAAAGTGTAATGAATGAACAAGAAAACCGCATATCTATAGATAACCAAATATGTCCAAAAAATAATGTATACATATATAAAATTAAACATAGAACATAAAATATATGAAAATGACTAACTCCCACTAAACCACAAATTCCTCAAACTGTAAAACACCCATGTGAGCAATATGTTCATGAAAGACCTTGGGCGGAAATCCTTTAGTTAGAGGATATTCTATCATGGAGTTTGTCCTTAAGTGTTCTATGAAAATCGTCCACTTTGTACTCTTTCCTTAACAATACAGGTCGATTTATTGTCACAATATAACTTAAGTGGTCTTTCAATGCCTTTCACAATTTGCGACCTCGTGACAAAATTTCTCAACCATATTCCATGATTTGATGCCTCATAGCATGCTACAAATTCTTGACATCCTGCAAAATCTGAGTCGAAAACCCAGCCGATCTCCAACTGGTCCGACCTCCTGTATGTGAGCATATAATCTTTTGTTCTCTTTAAATATCTTATGACCCTTTTTGCTGCTTTTCAATGGTCTATTCCTGAATTGCTTAAATATCTGCCTAGAACCCCAATTATGTATGTTATGTCTGGACACGTACATATTTGGGAATACATCAAACTCCCGATAGCTGATGCATGGGAAATCTGTTGCATTTCCTCAATTTCCAAATTCCCCTTTGGGCACTAGTTTAGATTAAACTTGTCTCCCTTAGTAACTGGAGTATCCCCGGCTCATGACGCACAAGTTCTTGAGGATCTTGAGTTTGGTCTTGACGAACAATGAAATCATCTTGAATATGGGGTTTATCATCAATGTCTTGTGGAGGTTCCGAACTTACTTTATCAAAAGTAACTGTTTGAATCGGTTATGGATTTATTGTCGATTCTTCCTCCAATACAAAATTCTTAATCTTATTCTTCCCCCTAAACTCAATATCCTCAAAGAACATAACAGTTCTCATCTCAAAATTGTCTTTAATGTGGGATCATAAAATTTATATCCCCTGGATCTTTCAGAATAACTAATGAAGTAACTACTTACTATTTGGGAGTCCAATTTTAGTTTAATACCATGAGATTCTGTATTAAGAGTTTCATTATAGGTGACCACAGTATCAAGTAAATATAGATTATCATTAGCCAAAAAATGAACCAGTTATAACAATATCTGAATTAAAAGACAGACTGAACTTATTGTTTCCAAATATACACAAATAACCTAATTTGTCCAAATAAGAAACTGAAACCAAATTCCGTCTAAAAGACGGCACGACAAAAAAAAGTCTTTTAAATCTAAAATAAAAAACCAGTACACAATAATAATCTAAAATGTTCAATAGTCTCTATCTCCACCAATTTGCCATTTTCAACGTATATTCATTTTTCAGAATTAGTTGGCTTCCGGTAGTTTAGGCAACCCTTTCTTTTCACGCCAAACATGATATTTAACACATTGCTTCTTTATGTGTCCAGTCTTATTGCAAAAGAAACATTTATTTTCTTGAGTTTGTTTCTTTTGTTCTGGACCTTTAACAGCTTCCTTCTTGGGATCCTCCGATCTCTTTCTTTTGCCTTTAGCCTTAAAGGTGCTTGCAAAATGAGCACTTTCTGTCTTGTCTTGCTTTAGCCTTTCTTCTTCTTGTACACAATGTGAAATAAGTTCATTAAGAGACCATTTATCCTTCTGACAGTTGTAAGATACCTTAAACTGATTAAACGTTGCGGGAAGAGAAATCAACACCAAATGAATGAGCAAGTCTTCTGAGAGTTCAAGCTTTAGTGCCTTGAGTTTAAAGACAATATTAGACATGCTCATAATGTACTCCCTGATATTTCCTTTGCCCTGATATTTCATGGAGATCAAGTTCTGAAGAAGAGTGCTTGCCTCCACCTTATCGCTTTTTGCAAAGCGCTATTCAATTTCAGCAAGAAATTCTTTGGCACTTGTGATGTTTTCAGAAACAGTGCCCCTAAACATCTCCGGGATGCCGCGCTTAATGATCATTAGACTCATGCGATTTGAGCGATCCCACTTCTCATAATCTCTTTTTTGTTCAGAGGTACTTGAATCCGTAGGAGTAGGGGTTGCTCGAGTCCTTAATGCAAGATCCATATCCATGCGACCAAGAATAATATCAATATTCTCTTTCCAGTCCTTAAAATTTGTTCCATTGAGGACCGAAGCGAATTTAAATTGGCGGATACGGAAGCAATTGTAACTGGATTAGAACAAAAGAAATAAACTAATTATGCTCACATTATAAAATAAATAATTATAAATAAAATATATATTGAAATAATAGTTTAACCCATCTCAAGACACCCAATGCACCATCAATATCAAGTCTTTGGACAAGTAATATTAACTGCTAGAGGTATCTTGTTGTAATAATCAAACATTGACAATAAAGCACGTCCAACAACAAACCAGTCTTTGGATTGATTTATCATCGACAAAGCAAATCCTTATAATTATCACATGTTTATCATTACAGGTGTGTATGTAATTCGACCAAATATTAATCTTCCTTTGGGCTGACTAATACTCGCATGAATATACACAAACACTAACATTCAATATTTTTCATGAACTACCCAATTCAAGAGAGGTTACTTTGGTAACTTCTTGATTCAATTTGCTCACAAAAATATTAAACTATCAAAAAATTAAAATTGAATATTTTATTTATATAACCAAAACTAAATATTAAACCACCAAGACGTTAGGACCTTCCCCTAAAAGCAACTCCGAAGTCACTCTCTTGCTGAGGGTTATTAGCAGGCTACACACGACTAATTGGTTGCATTCCAATTCTTCACCTTCCAACCAATTTACGTACCCACATTGGAGTCTTCAAAATGTTCTTTCCACCTTCTGAATTAGCCATAAATAACATCCAAAGCAAGCATTGCCCATGGAAGATAGAAGGCCTTAAGAGCAATAGGTCCATATACATAGATTTGGGCTTCAAAAATTCTCTACTCCAAACATAAAGGAGCATAGAAACAAGCGGTAGACGTGAACCATCACCGCTGCAAAATGCATTATGGGCCGAAGACGAACTCATGGGTTAAGGGCCCGATTGTTAGTAATTAACTGCCATCTAGAGTTTTAAACTAAATCCTTTAATTGATATTCCTTAACCTAACTCTCTCTAAGGACCTGTGCGGCATAATTTCCCTCCATGAAGACATTCTTACCTCTAAAATGTAGTCTGTTTCTGGGACTGTTGAGCCAACCGGATCCTCATATGGTGGTGCATCAAACCTGTTTTTGAATGCAGCTGAAATTATAATTGCAAATATATCACCTGCCTAAATGCCAAAACCCTGCATGGCAAACACTGCAGCAACGAAGGCACCACGAGTCTTCTTGTTAGAATACTCAGACATTATGGTAGCAGAAAGTGGATAGTCTCCACCAACTCATAAGTCTTTGCCAGGAAAGGGGGCAGGGAACATGAGCTACCCAGTGCCTCATCCATCACTTAAATCAAACCTCAATCACCCTAACTCACAAATCTCAGCCACCCCAACTCAAAACCCGAACTCAAATCAAGCTCCAAACTTTCAAAATAAGTCAACCCTTAATCCCCTCCGGGACATTCCAGAGAACCTCACACCCACCAAAAAATAAACCCCTTTCAAATAAATCTGACCCAGACAAAACCCAATAACATAAAACTCCCATTTTCAGCAAAATTAATAATAGCCAATTATTGCCAAACCCATTTGCCTAAGGAGAATAACCCATAACCCATGATATCAACAAAACCTCGAGGCGGAAATGTTTTCAGCTTTCTCTCCTTTGTAACCCCAGATACCCAAAAAAAAAAAAAAAAACTTATTCTCAGACAAATCTTACAGAATAATCGTGAATGAATTTCCCCAAAAATGTTAACGTAGTATTCTTCTTTCCTTGGATGGGAAAAATTGGAGAAGCTTGCACGTAAAGCAACAATAATTAAATTACATAAAATAGAATTGGCAGTTACGTTATTGGAGCTCTGCACTTGAAAAGGGAGAGGGAGAGAAAGCACAAAAATCGTAGAGAAGAAAAAGAAGGTCTCGTTCTGTTTATCGGTGTTTACAATTTTCCAAGCTGTTCGATCCTTTCTTAACGCGTAGTTGATTTTTCAATTAGGGTTCTTAATGAGAAACTCGAATCCCTTCCCCGACCACATCGGAGGCGCGTCGTGCGACCTTCGCTAATTCTTCATGTTGAGCCAACAGTTGTGCCGTCTCCGGATAATGCCACACGTGGAACAGAGAATTGGGTTTTAAGAAACCCGATTCTCAATTTTGGGGTTTTTAATTAGGGATTTAGGGTTACGTAAATTAATTTAAATTCTTAAATATTTCCTAAGACAAACATGAATCAAGTATGGGAGGCTCTTATACCAATTGTTAGATTAAACTTTAATTGAATATGATCTTCATCCTAATGATCAAACATATATCTGTAATCCCATACTGTATACATGTTATAAACTAAATGCGAAAGCGTACCTGAATTGGCCATAATGACGATATCCTTTGTAGAGTACTTTTGATTTGATCTTATGGTCTTCCACCTGAAGAGCACCTGTATTTCCCTCTTGATTTTCTCTCTTGATGGGGATAGAAAGAAAAGAACGGGACTGTAACTTTGTTTTTCTGTGTGCTCTCAGAAGGAGACCATGACCCTTTATATAACTAAAATTAGGTTAATTACTTAAGTTTTAGTATTTTCAATTTGGCCCCTCATCAAATTAAAAATTACTCTATGGTCTCTACACAATCATATTTTCATGACATATGCCTTTAGCCAAAACTTTAATTTATTCAGATCACTTTATTATTTGGCTTAATAAATAATGACCCTAACACATTTAAATATGTATCATATATATACATGACCCAAAATTTGCCAACATAAGATTCAAAACGTCTTCTCTCAAACCTCTCGTGAATCTAAATCCCTACTTGACACAATAATTCAACTAACACTTAAATTCCAAGACTAAAAAGTTAGACGAAAATTATAACAAAAAAAACATTTTTTATCTAAAAATTACTAAAATGTAAATATTCATAAAGATTTAATATATGATTCTCTACTAACTTTGTAGATTTTTATCTGGTCCTTCATTTTTTTTTCTATTTTGGTACTCATAAAATTTTATTTATGATTTGATTCTATCATTTACTGTCATTCTTCAAACATGAGTTGCCACTTAAATAACTATATTAGCATTCATGTAAGATTGACACTTATATTTTACTCATCCTTAGAGCATTTCTAAGGATTTCTAATGATAGGTTCTTAAGAACTCAACTTGGTTTTTAAATGCGATGTCATATTTAAGCAATTTTCTTCAAATTTTTACAAATTCACTTCAATAGTGAGTTCTTATAAGCAATTCATCATTCAACTACTACTTTTGACTTTAATGGGACCCGCTATAAGCATTCCTCTATGATTTGTTGTATTTTCTGATTTGTTGAATTCCGCTTATAAGAACCGTGGGAACAAAATGGGAAAAACAACTCTTAGGAATATTGTTTCTACAAGATACGATATTTAATTTTTCAAAATTGTTGTTGTCATGTCGGATTGTTTCAACAATAGTTTCTTATAAAGTATCGTTAGTAACTGGGGTTATAAGCAACAACCATTGGAGTTGTGCTTAGAAGGTGGAACTAAAAAAAAGGAATCTTCTTTAAAAATAAATTGTACGATGTTAAGGATTTTTGACAAGTATACCAAGTTAACTTAAGTAGTATTTTTTTTCTAAATCAAAATATCAAATCTCAAATTACTTGAGTACAATCTCGGACAAGTAAATGGGTTTGATTTAAAAGATGATATGATAAAGTAAAATAAATCAATAAAATAAAAACAAAAGATAAAAAATAGTTATTTGAAAAATAAAATAAAAGCTAAATATAAGAGATAAAAAAATTACAATTATAAAGAGATAAAAGAATAAAATTACAAATAATGGTTTATTTGTTCGTAGAAGACTATTGAAGTATTGAGTATTGAGTTCGACACAACTAAGTTATTATGTAATTTATTATAATAGTTTATTTTAGTTTGTCTATGAACTTATTAAATTATTTAAATCTAATTCATCTATTATTGTTATAAATGTTATTTTGACATTTTTTTCTAATATTATAGATTTAAAATATTTTTTCAATATTAATCAAATTCCAATTAGCCAGCTTAAGGGTGATAAATCAATCTCATACAAGATTAAATATAACGAAATATAATACTCGTGTTAAAAGAACTTTATTAAATAAAATATAATGATTACATAAGTTTGGGTCTATTTGCATTTGACATATAAATCACATAACTACTCGTGACAAATTATAATGGTTGAAGTTATCTATGATAAAAAAAAAATATAAATTTATCGTTGTATCAAAAATTTGTATTCTTTCTTTCTTTCTCCCCAACTCTTCACTCAAATCAACATATGTTTTCATTTATAAGAAAAACTTCATCGAACCTTAGGTGATTAATCTTTTAGGTCAACAATTTTTACTTAATTAAGATTCTTCAATTTTTTCACAGTGTTAAATAATATATATAAAAAAATTATTATCCCATGTCTATTTCTAATCCTCATTCAATTTAAATATGAAAAACTCAAAGAAATATGAAGAAAAACAACGATATATTTATATTACATTAATTATTTTTTATTAAATATTTGTCACACAAACTCTATTATTAAGATGACTTTATAAATAACTGACCACTTAAAAAATATAATTAAAATACAAGGTCCAAAACATCAATATTTGTTATAAATATTTTTTTATTTAATCTTTAAGTATTAGAAGAACTTGTTTAAACAAAGTTGTTTATTTGACATCACTAACAAAAGTAAATAAATATCACATATTAAAACATAATTCTTTTAATTTAATCCCATTAACGAAATACATTAATTTACAAATGAAAGTGTGCATATATATATATATATATATATATATATATATATATATATATATAATTTAAGTTATGTGATAATCTTTTTACTATTTTTGGAAGTATAAAACTACCAGTTAAAAGACTATTTGAAAGTATAAGCTGATTTACTTATTGATATGTAATTAAAATATGCTTATAGTAATATATAGTTATTTTTGTTCTATCTTCACCTATTATATAAGTGAGTAGATAAGTATGTAAGTTAAATTTTATAACTTATAATTTGGTTTTATCTTCACTAGTAGAATCATATTTTAATTTCTTTATAAATTAATAATTTATTTCATGTAAGATTGATAACCATAATTACTTTTTCTCAAAAGATAAATATGAATCACACAAAAAATGTTGTTAGTATTTAATTGTTAATATTTTTTATATATATAATCAATATGTTATTTTTAATATCTTTTAATTTTTATAATATGATTTTATATGAATATAACATTACTTAATATTAATATTTAATGAATATTTCCATATATAATATTATCGTATTACTTGAGAAAAATATCTATAATTTATGTTTATGCATGATTTTAACTAATTATTTTATATGTTAATAATAATTACCGTATCACTATCTTTTTATTAAATTCTATATAATATATTCAAATAAAAGAAAAAACTATGTTAGTATTTGGTTGATATATTTGAAACCTTCCTTTAATATCATATGATAAATTTGAATTAAAACATGGTAACATTTTTTAATACAGTATAATAAATTTGTATTCATCCGTTTAATAGTATTTTACATTTAGAACTGAAAGCTATATTACCTATATTTTTTTTGTTATGTTCATGTTACTTTTTTTTAGATATTTATAACTTCTTTATTTATTTATTTTCATCAAAACTTTATTTAGAAAAAATCTTTATGAATATATGCAAACAGTAAAAAAATAAAGATTCTTTTTAAAATAAATATTTTTTAGCTAATAATTAAATATTAATATTTAATAAAAAATTGTTTCTTTATTTTTTATATATTAATATATTAAAAAAAATCTAATGTAACTTACCCGAAATATTTTTTGATTAGAGGTTAAATGACACATGTATGTTGTAAAAAAGTCTATCAATATCTTCAAAGACTTACTATGATTTGAATAAAAAAAAAAAAGAAAAAAAAGAAAAACTGAATTAGGTTTTGAGGTTGGGAAGTGTATAAGAATGATTCCATCCCAAAACCATAAACCCGGAAACCTGGTCGCCGCTAACTCCTATTTCTTCTCCTGCTTGTTCACCTCAGAGCCACACCCCCATTCAAGCAGGAGAAAATCTCTCTCTTTCTTTCTCTCTCTGTTTGTCTTTCACCTTCTCCTCACGCCGCCATCACCATGCCTTCACTCGTTCTCTCTGACAGTGACACCACCCCCCAAGAAAATAAGAAGCACGGCGCCAGGAAAGCCAAGAGCCAATCCCCAACCATCATTGCAGAGAAGAAGAGTGCCTCCAAACTCCTCTCCAATTCCAACGCCCCCGATCCCGACCACGATGGGGTCTCGGGGAAGCTCCAGAAGAAGGCGAAGAAGCGCAAGGCTTCAGATATAGAGGCCATGGCGGCGACCAACGATGCCGACGACGAAACTAGTTCCGAGCTGGTCGAGCCCGAACCTTCTAGAGAAGACGACCACAAGAAGAAGAAAAAGAAGAAAAAGGCCAAGTCCGAGGAACAGACTTTAGTGATGGAAGCAGAGGAAAAAGAAGAGAAGAAGGAGGATCCTAATGCTGTCTCCAAATTCAGGATATCCGAACCGTTGAGGCAAAAATTAAAGGAGAAGGGCATCGAATCATTGTTTCCGATTCAGGCCATGACTTTCGATTTAGTACTCGACGGCTCTGATTTGGTTGGTCGGGCTCGCACTGGTCAGGTCTGTATATACGCATGTCACAAACCCTTGTTAATTTCTTTAATTATTGGGGTGTTAACAAAGACAAAGAGTTGTATTTGAAATCCATGATTAGTATCGTAATGGTTAAGAGAGAAGAAGTGATTGTATAATATGTTGATTGGTGTGAAGGGTTTTAGGCCCCTTGAGTCACACATATACCGTGTTTAAGAGAAAATATTTAGATATTCATTTGATCTTGTATCTCCATACTTTGAAATATTCCTTTTTAATCCTTAGTTCTTACAGAAAGACCTAAAGAATTAAAAATGGTATTTGCAACGATGTTTTTAAGTATAACGAGTAAAAGGAAACATTTTTTCTGTTAACATGACCAAATTAGTAATTGAACCATTCTCTAATATTTGAAAGTGCATGATTTTGAAAGGTGTAAAGGGTTTTATTTGATCTCAATTGTCTCCTTTGGGGAAACTGTAGGGTAAAACTCTGGCATTTGTGTTGCCCATATTAGAGTCTTTAACAAATGGTCCAGCCAAAGCTTCAAGAAAGACTGGCTACGGGAGGACTCCAAGCGTTCTTGTGCTTCTACCTACTAGGGAATTGGCTTGTCAGGTATGTTCGTGTGCATGAGTTTTTGAAGTTATGATTGTATGGTAAATATATTATTCTTCTTAACAAAGAGTGTTGTTGCATTAGGTGCATGCTGATTTTGAAGTTTATGGTGGGGCCATGGGATTGAGCTGTTGTTGTTTGTATGGTGGAGCTCCATATAACACTCAAGAAATTAAGCTTCGGAGAGGTGTTGATATCGTAATTGGCACACCAGGTCGTGTTAAGGTAATTGCTGTAACACTAGTTGATTATATGCTGCTACTAAGTTAATGAATTTAAATATTTTCAATAGTAGATTGCCTGAAGGCTATAATATGTATGTTGAAGACGAATGTTTACATTGTTTTGTGATTTTCATCTGGCATGAATTGGTGCAGGATCATATCGAGAGGGGCAATATAGATCTGAGCCAACTAAAATTTCGTGTCCTTGATGAAGCAGATGAAATGCTGAGAATGGGTTTTGTTGAAGATGTTGAATTGATTCTAGGTATCTTTTCTGTTAAGTATGTTAAGATCGCAACAGTGATACTCATCCTACTTACAGATTGTCTTGTAATTTACTGATATTGCTTAGTTAGTTCTAGTTACAAGAATGATTTGGAATCTTGCCATCTTTTTGTGATAATCTCCATGGTAGATTTCACCTTTTTTATCTCATGAATTACTACAGTGAAGACTTTGTTCTTTATGCTTTCCGTAGCACATCCCATGCTGTTATGGTTTTCTTGCTTAATTTATTATCTTTTTTCCTATAGCCTTGACTATGCTTTACCAGTGGTAGGATGTTTCATTTTCTTCAAGTCTTTTTTATTCTGATAAATTGCACTATTTAGCAATTCAACATTACTTTTTTCCCCAATCCTATGATTATTTAAAGATATTTATTCACATCATCTAGTGCACTATGCTTAGTAATTGGGATTACCTTAGATTTCACGTTCATTCAAAATGTTGCATGATAGGATTTTTCTGTATTACAATTTTCTTTATTTGATCCTTTTGCAGGTAAGGTGGAAAATGTTAATAAAGTTCAGACTCTTCTTTTCAGTGCTACTTTGCCAGACTGGGTTAAGCACGTATGTTTATGTGTTGATTTCTTCTTTATGCTTATGGGATGTTGTGATATTTAGGGTCCTTAATGTTATCTTATGTACATTCATGCCAGATTGCTGCACAATTTCTGAAGCCAGATAAGAAAACTGCTGACCTGGTTGGAAATACAAAAATGAAGGCTAGTACCAATGTGAGGCATATTGTTATCCCTTGTTCTGCCTCTGCTAGGTCCCAACTTATCCCAGACATTATTCGCTGTTATAGCAGGTGATTTTTTTTTTTTTTGAATTTTTCACTTATGATATTTTTTAGAGTTATGCTGAATTTTAATGTTTATTATTTATTAATGGTTCAGTGGAGGCCGGACAATTATATTTACCGAGACAAAGGAGTCTGCTTCTCAGCTTGCAGGGTTGTTACCTGGAGCAAGAGCTCTTCATGGGGACATACAGCAAGCTCAACGTGAGGTGAGCTATTCCCTGCATTTTGGTTTAGTTATTGTATTTTAACATGTTACTTTAAACTTTAATATCATTGTGGACTGATATTTTCTTTTTTCACTGTGTGTGCTTTTATTCTCTTTTTAATAGTGTCCTGTCCCCTGCAGGTTACTCTGTCTGGCTTTAGGTCTGGGAAATTCATGGCATTAGTTGCGACAAATGTGGCAGCTCGAGGTCTTGATATTAATGATGTTCAGTTAATTATCCAGGTACTTTTGATGCATATTAGTTCAATGTATCAGATCATTATTATTTTTGTCACAACCTGGTATGCTGATATTTGTATTTTTATTTAGTGTGAGTTCCCACGGGAGGTAGAATCCTATATCCATCGTTCTGGACGGACAGGAAGAGCAGGTATCTCTATAGGATTTTTCTATTGGTGTACGATCAGATTGTGATATTGGTGTTATCATTTTAAGGTTATATTGTGGTTTGTGGTTTTTATTCAGGTAATACTGGGGTTGCTGTTACGCTTTATGATCCAAAAAGATCTAATATATCTAAAATAGAAAGAGAGTCCGGTGTAAAATTTGAACACATATCTGCCCCTCGGCCTGATGATATTGCCAAAGCTGTCGGTGGGGAAGCTGCTGAAATGATTACCCAAGTATCTGATAGGTATATGCTTGTTACTTGCTAACTGTGTTAATGTGTTTGGTGCTGTGCTTTTCTGTTAACATACATCATAACTGCAGTGTGATTCCGGCATTCAAAGCTACTGCCGAAGAGCTTTTGAAGAGTTCTGGTTTATCAGTTGTTGAATTGCTTGCAAAGGCTCTTGCAAAGGCTGTTGTGAGTCAATGCTCTTCCACATTTTCTCCGTTCCTTTTTTTTGTTTATTTTTCTTTTTGATTTTATGAACCCTTGATCATCCATTTTTTTTCTGATCTGGAAATTCGTCTCATCATATAATATGCAGGGTTATACCGAAATAAAGCAAAGATCACTTCTCACTTCCATGGAAAACTATGTTACATTGCTTCTTGAAATTGGGAAACCAATCTTCACCCCTTCGTGAGAACCTGACTATACTCCCTGATTTAACATATATGGCGTTTACATGTTGCTTCAAATAACTATCTAGAAACTTAAGAAATTAAACATTGAAATTAATACTATTTTTTATCATATAATCTGTGTGTGTTGATTATGCATACTATCACTGTGATGGAAATAATTTGATTATTTGAATTAAAACATAACTACATTTGAAGTATTACCAGTGTGAACATTTTCAACTTGTTTGACTTGCTATTCATCGGTTATCAGTTTTGCGTATGGAATCTTGAGGAGATTCTTGCCTGAAGAGAAGGTGGAGGCTGTGAAAGGTCTTTCACTCACTGCTGATGGAAATGGTGCTGTTTTTGATGTACCTGCTGAAGATTTAGATACATATCTTAGCGGTAAAGTTTTACTTAACTATTGACTTAAAATTCCACATACTTGTTGATGCAGGATTCGAGCCCTTTCACTAGAGTACGGGAATACATTTTTACATATAGCTTGATGTCTTGGTCATATTTTTCATTCAATCATATTTGTCCTTCAGGTCAGGAAAATGCTGCTAATGTAAGTCTAGAGGTGTTGAAAGCTTTGCCACGTTTGCAACAGAGAGATCAATCAAGGGGTGGTAGATTTGGTGATGGTGGTGGTCGTGGTGGTGGGCACAGGTTTGGAAGAGGAGGAGGAGGCAGGAACGGTAGATTTTCAAATGATAGGTTTTCCAATGGTGGTGGAAGAGGTGGTCGTGGCAACTGGGGTGGAAAGAGATGGTGAGTTTTCACTCTTCTCTCTCTGGTAGCATTGCTGCATGGCTGCCACGTTGAAAGGAAGAAATAGTTGATGTTGGTTAGGCTACGGAGGATTCAAGTTAAGATGGATTCAATGTGTACCCCCATTAGCATACTCTATGATTTACTGTTTTTTTATTGATACTTTTTTTTGTATTTTTTATTCTTTTTGACGGGAAGCTTAAGTTTAGTTTTTTAATATGTTCTATGACTTTGACAGGAGAAAGTTTTATATACTAGTATATTTATATATATTCTACTTTTTTTACCATATGAATCGGGAAAGAAGTTGTGGTACTTATGGCGTCCACTGTTAATACCTGTGTAAATAACATAAAACGTACCATAAAATTACATGTGGACTACAATATTGTGAAAGAAAGTGTGGATAGGTTTTAACGTGATTTGAGTTCTTATAAAAATAGCCATTTGAACTGAATACTTGTATTTTTAAACGTTTAGTTCCTTCATATTTTCGTCCTTACAGCAGCTGGTCGAAAAAGATGCAAGATTATAAAGAAAGAGAAAGTGGAGGTGAGTGAATAATTTATAAAACAAGTTTGTTTTAACCCATGGATTAGTTGTAGTGGTACATTGGTAGTCAATCATATTTATGATACATTTGAAAGTATTCATTTACTTTTTTTTTAATTAAAATCAAAATATTTATTTAATTATGAAATTATTTTTATAATAATTATTTACTTTTTTTATTAATAAAATAATTTTTAAATTAATATCTTAAATTAATATTTTTTTATAAAATATGTTTTTATATATAATTCTACAATTCATTTATTATAAAATTATAAAATAAAAAATTATTCATGTTATTAAAGATAATTTTATAAAATAATAATTACTTTTTACTTTTTTACACTATGTACCAATACATAATAGATGAAAATGTGACATTTTTCGTTCCTTATTGAAAAATTTTCAACCCTAGTTGCTATTCATTCTTTATTTTTCCTCCAATCAAAATAGAGCATAACAGATCAATCACATAATTATTTTTCCTCCAATCAAGATGGGTAGAAAGTAGAAAAGCTTTAGTCCTACAAAAAAAAATTATTATAAGGGGTTAACAAAATTGTAAAAACAATGACTATTTTTATGCAGTTTTATAAATGAGTGTTTATTTAATTTGGTTGGAACTTTTTCTACGAAAACTACTAGTTTGGTTAAATCTTAATTCCTTTAACAAGTTTGCTAGAAATTTTTGGGCAACATTTACGGATTAGTTCGTGAGGGAGAAACAACTAACAGCAGCAGACAAAGTTTGACCGTACAAATTATGTGAATTAGTCAATGTTTAAAGCAATGGTTTAATACTGTATGTGCTTTCACAAAAGCCTCTATGTACTCAATCTGCATATTGCCTTCCTTCTATTCCATGGGTCAAGTCAATTATTGCTTGTTAATGCTATAAAACAGATACACCACTATCTTTTGTTTTTCCAAACATATGATTCATCTCACTTGTCATCTTTCCTTTACTTTTAAACGTGGAGAGAAGAAAAAGAGATTGAAAAGTGTAAAAAATGAAGAAATTTTGACATACGTTCACACTCTCATACTAAAAACAGATTGAATATCTAATTAAGCATCAGGTTGTCCTATGACGAAGGTTGGATGGGTCGAATGGTGGTGAATAGACTATTATTCTTAAATAAAAAGAGTTACACTCTAAATAATGACTATAATTTTTTGTCTAATGATATGCTCGATCCTAATAGATATTTGTCATTCTGGTTAATTATAAATTTTTTTAAATAAAATATAGAAATATAATTTATTGGAAAAATATTCTTATGTCAAATTTAAGATTCAATTAAACATTAATAAAAAATAAAAAATAGACAAAATTAAAATTCAAACTAAATTAAGTATTTTCTAAAATAAAAACTCAAAATCACAAATAAGTTATTAAAAAATAATATAATTTAGTCTCTTTTTTTTACTTGATAAATATTATTACGTAAAATAAGTTGTTATTATTTTAAGAATATTTTATAGTATTAATTACCTAAATATTAGTCTAAATTTTAGTTTGTATTTGTATGTATTCTTAATTAATAAAAAGATAAATGAGAGATGATTTTCTATATGGTATCAAATTAGGTTATCTTCCTCCTTTTTTGAAAAATCTAGTTGTCATTGTTCATCTTTTTTGAAACTTTTTTTTCTTCTTTCATTAATAACTGTCTTTTCATAGCTGATGATTCCAAATTTCACTCTGTCGTAACTGTCACTAATGTCAAACATCTCATTCTAATTAATTTGGACATGAAAAACAGTCAATATTACTTATAAACAACCTATCATTCTATGCTTGGACATATCATCCCTACGGAGGTCCCTGCCATAACAACATACCAAACAACAAAGTTGTAGCTAACTTATATCAAAATAACAAAAACACTAGGGTAGTATATCTTGAAACTCAATTCACGAACACGAACTTAGCAGATTTTTTCACAACCTTCGCATATTACAACCGACTAAAATCTCTTGCTGACTAATTATCCAATGTTAGGACTCCTGTTTCATGTCAACATCTAGTGTTCTGTTTGCTCGTTAACTTAACTGAAGCATATGTTGATTTTGTCATAGTTATGCAACAAAAAGATTACTTGCCTAGTTTTGCTACAACATGTTTTCTATTGAAGTTAGAAGAAATCACGATTAAGGAATGAGTAACTTCTGAATCTGGTTCCTCTGCATTCTTAACTGTGGATGAAGACTTCAATTCAAAGCCGTAACATCACAGTAATACCAATAATTTCTAGGACCGTAATAATACTAATCACGACAAGAAAACCAACTAAGACAGAGGTAATAACACCCATAATAGAGGTAGACATGACAACGGTAAGGGTGAGGTATTGTAAAAAATGGTGTACCATGGTAGCTGTCGCCTCGTGGCAACCTAGACCTCCACACTAAGCCGATGTTCTTGGATCGTGACCACCATAACAAGCTTATAACACATCAATAACATCATCTAATATTGGGAACACACTTACAAACATTAATGCGGCCATGCATACTTTTACAAGAAACATTAATGTATCTTGTTCTTTTATTGAATTTCTCTTTGATATTATTCATAGTGATATTTGAATATCACCCATGTCTAGCTCTTCTGACCATCGATATTAGGTATTATTTCTTGATGATTTTAGTGGACTTTTCCCATTAGTAAAAAATCACAAATTTATTTCATTTTTCAATCTTTCCAAAATCTAATTAAAACTCAATTTAAAAGAAATATTAAAAAATTGTTAATAATTTGGTTAAAATTTTTGGTGAACAAAGTGGAATGCAATTTAGGTTATCTTACTCTCACACCTCTCATTAAAATGGAAAAGCTAAACAATACATTAAATTCATTAACAACATTATTTGTACCTTATTAGCACACTCATCCATGCCACTTTCTTTTTGGAAATGCATTCTTCAAATTACTACTTATCTACTAAACAATTCTCCACCAAAGTTCTAGGATATCGTTCCCCGTTGCAAATCCTCTATGGTCAAAATTTAATATTTTTCCATCTTCGTGTCTTTGGTTGTCTTTGTTACCCCTATTTCCAACCACTACAATCAATAAGTTGCAAACCAGGTCCACTGGGTGTGTTTTCCAGGCTACCTGTCAAACCATCGAGATTACAAGTGTTATGATCTTTCAAGTAGAAAAATAATTATTTTGCGTCATATAATTTTTGATGAGACACAATTTCCTTTCTCAAAAATATATAATCCATCTCCAAGAGAATATGACCACTTAAGTGAAGACACCTTTTCACACTTAATCCATCACCTACGTACCTATGTATCAGAAAATCAAATAACACAACTCACACTTCCTCTTACACATACAGACCCAAGCTCTCAATCAACGTCACCATCTCCTCAACCGACCCTGTCCCCTCACACTAATCAACTCTCATCCTCACCAATTACTACTCCCTCTTCCCAAATCTCAACCCGTCAACTTGCAATAACCAATCCTAGGCCTCATCACATGATCACTCATAGTCAACATGACATAATTAAACCAAACCCAAAATATACCCATAATTTGAGTACTTTGACCACCACCTCTATTTTTTCTTTACCTAAGAATCTATTGAGTACTCTTCATGACCCAAACTAGAAAAATTTCATGACTGATGAATATAATGCTCTAATTCAAAACAAGACATGGGAGTTACTACTCCATTCCCTTGATGTAAATATAATTCGGTCTATGTGGATTTTTAAACATAAACACAACTCTGACAATTCTTTTGAGAGGAATAAAACTTATCTTGTAGGTGATGGCAGGTCACAAAAGAAAGGAGTAGATTGTGATGAAATATTCAGTCCGGTAGTGAAACCAACGACCATTCAAACTATTTTAACTATTGCTTTGTCCAAATCATGGTCCATTTATTAGCTGGACGCCAACAATACATTTTTTACATGGTAATCTGAATAAAACCGTTTATATGCATCAACCCATGGATTTTAAGGATTCCTCTCACCCTGATTATGTTTGCTTGTTGAGGAAGTCACTTTATGGCCTAAAAGCAAGCCCTTCGTGCTTTATACCAACAATTTGCAGATTATACGATCATAATCGATTTCAAGTATAGTAAATCCGATCACTCTTTATTCATATATCATAAGGTGTCTGATATTACATATATGTTGTTGTATGTTGATGATATTATCTTGATGGCTTCCTCTGATTTTTTTTAGAAAGTCTATTATATCATTCTTGAGTGCAGAGTTTGCTATGAAGGATCTTGGTCCACTCAATTATTTTTTGGGGATTGCAGTTACTCGTCATGCAACCAATATATTTCTCTTATGGAAAAAAGTATGTAGAAGAAATTCTTAAAAGAGTAGGAATGACTAATGTCCCACACCAGTTGGTACAAAGCCCAAACTTGGTGCTTGGAATGACATTCCCTACGAGGATCCTACTAAATATAGATGTCTTGATAGAACATTGTAATATCTTACTTTTACAATACCTAACATTTTTTATGCGGTATAACAAATATGTCTTTATATCATGATCCCAAGAAAGAGTATATGCATGCTCTCAAGCATAAAAGTTTGTCATGGGACACTACAAAATGTTCTCAAAATAAGCAAGAGAGCATGCTCTCAAGCGTAAATGTATTCTCTAAACATTAACTTAAATTTTAGCTTGTCAATTATAATGACAATCTAGATTTTAGCTTATATTCTGTATAGATTCCTAATCAATTAAAAGAGAAATCAGGATGATTTCCTATTAATACAACTTTGTAATCGTGAACTTTGAAATCATGAAAATGACTGTTTTGGTAGAAAACCTGCTTGTCAAACTTCAATGTATCATGGAAATTTGCTTGCATCCACTTTACGTATTTAGCCTCAGCTTGGATTGAAGTTCTTTCACACATTTTCAGAACGAAAACCAGAGATGAAGCTCACAGATTTTCCTTTTGCTCTGAAACCTCTCTTTGCAACACTAATAGCTGTGATATTAGTTGATATTATTATCAAAATCCGTGGCATTAGATTTTTTGACAAGAAACGGAAATACCACAATCTCGCTGGCACAGTCATACACCAACTTTTCAACTTTACCAGGCTTCTGGATTACATGGTTGACCGTACAAACCAGAGCAAAACTTACAGGTTGCTCAGCTTCATCAGAAGTGAGGTCTTCACTGCAAATCCTGTTAATATTGAGTATATCCTCACCACAAATTTCTCAAACTACGGCAAGGTAACTATGATCTATGCATATTCCTTCCATTTGCTATCTCATAACTGCAAATTCTGTGATAGTTAGGATGCAAAAAATGTTTAAAGATTCATCATATTTGTTTAATCCAATTGTTGTTACTTCGTGTTGTCTGAGTTGTAACTTCATCAACAAAACTAATGCAAATTCCATATCTTACACTGGGAAACGGGTGGAAAATTGAGAGAAAATGGAGAATGAGAGAAATAAATGTCTTTTATGTTAACCATACTGCTGAGAATTATAGAATCTAATTATATTGACTTATAAAGCTGAACACACAGATTTGTCGCTTGCAGCCCCTACATATTTAAGCTGATTCCGGAGATGCAATTCAAGAAAAAAATATATTTGTATTGTTAATACTATTTGAACTAATGGTGCCAACCGTGAGATTCAAATACAAATCGATATTGCTGTTTGGACTGATAATGCCAGCTTTGAGATTCAAAGACAAACTTGAATTGTTACTGCTTTGTCCTGATGAAGCCAACAAAAAACTTAGATGTTTCCAAATTGAATTTAACATGAAATTAGAGCTTGCACGACTAAATTATGAGGAGGAGTTTGATTCTTCTTGCAATGAGAGTCTCGTTCTTATAGTTAAATATTACATGTCAGTTCCTTTTGCATGGGAGGTAGCTTGCATAAAACCATTCTCTGGTTACTGTCATCATAATATTCAAAACTTGATAACCAAATTATCAAGAACTGTAGGTATAGATAAATAAAAATATACGACCTTTTCCATATATTCTTGCATGTGATTTAGCATCAAAACGTCTTCATCTGTGGCAGGGTTGGTATCACCATAGTGTTTTGTCAGATTTTCTTGAAGATAGTATATTCACGGTGGATGGATTGCAGTGGCGACATCAGAGAAAGGCAACAAGTCATCAATTCTCAACGAAAATGTTGAGAGACTACAGCAATTCGGCGTTCAAATCCAATGCCTGAAACTTGCCGAGATGGTGTCTGAAGCTGCAATCTCAAATAATATTATTGAGATGCAGGTGAGATGTTATTTAGTGCAGCTGCAGTACACATAACAAAAGTACAAAACCTTCCAGTCACTTCACAATTACAAATCTCGTTCTCATCAGCTTCTTGCTTTTTGCTTTTTGGCAGGAATTGTTCATGAAAGCTACTATAGATTCTGTATGCAAGGTTATCCTTGGTGTTGAACTGGACACCGTGTATGGAACCAATAAAGAAGGCAGAGAGTTTTCCAATGCTTTTGATGAAGCAAGTGCTGCTATCATGTACCGGTATTTCAACTTTCTCTGGAGAATCATGCGGTTCTTGAACATTGGAGCAGAAGCAGTTCTTAGGAAAAGTCTTAGAGTGATGGATGAATTCTTTTATAAACTAATCAGAAACAAGATTGAACAAGCCCAAAAGCTACAAGAAAATTTACCTGTGAGGACTAATACTAAAATTATGGGTTTCTAACTATTCTTAGTTGTGTGTTTTGTATAGGATTAGGACTAAATTGTTGGCAACCTGAATATTTAACAGGTGATGAAAGGAGACATGTTGTCAAGGTTTATAGAATTGAAAGAAACTGATCCAAAGTACCTTAGAGACATTTCCTTGAGTTTTATCCTTGCAGGGAGAGATACAACAGCAATTACTCTTTCCTGGTTTCTTTGTGAACTTTGCAAGCACCCTCATGTGAGGAGAAAATTGCAAAAGAAATTAGAGAGGCAACAAATGTAGCTAGCAGCTGGATCAACCATTGATGAATTTGTAGCTGGAGTAACTGAAGAAGAAAACCTGGAAAAGATGCAGTATCTACATGCCTCATTGAATGAAACACTCAGGCTCCATCCAGAAGTTTCGGTGGTAATAAAGCTACATCACATCATTAACATGAATTGAATATATGCATCATTGTGAGTGATGAGTGTTTTGTTTTACTAACCAATGTTATGATGCATTTCTAGCAAGGTAAGTATTGTTTTTCAGATGACATGTGGCCAGATGGATTTAGTGTGAGGAAAGGTGATCTTGTGTCATTCCAACCGTATGTCATGGGAAGAATGAAATTCTTGTGGGGTGAAGATGCTGAGAGATTCAGGCCAGAGAGATGGCTCGATGGGAATGGAATTTTGAAGAAAGAAAGCCCTTTTAAGTTCCCAGTCTTCCACGTAGGAATTAAACCTTTTACTTTTGTTTATGCATTAAAATAAAATAACCAGAAAAAAATCATTTCATAACATTTGGTCCCTGGAATTCTACTGAACTTGAGACTTACTGTGATATTGTGACACAGGCGGGTCCAAGAATTTGCTTGGGGAAGGAGTTTGCATACAGACAGATGAAAATATATTCTACACTCCTCTTAGGTAGTCACAGCTTCAAAATAGCAGACCAAAACAAACCAGTGAAATACAAAACAATGCTTACCCTACAAATTGATGGTGGCCTGGACGTTTATGCTTTTCAAAGAGAGAAATAAGGGTCTTACAGAAATTCACCCTTAGCATAGTACAAACTAAACAGAACATAAATTTATGCTTTTCTATATCTTTTAAACGTATAACGTAACATCAACTTATTTTTAAATTGATAAGAACTTCTGTATGTGGGATGGTCTGATTTGATGTAGTTTTTACCACAGTTTACAAGTGACAAACACCACGCATTGACAATATTCTCTATCTTCAGATGCAACAGCTACATATGTCTTTATCCCATGAGCTACATAAGCCATAAAAAAACATTTAAACTACAAAATTATGTAAACAATGTGATAATTAATAACTCCCATAAGCTACACCGTGCAACACAGAAGCAGAAGCTGTAAGAGCATAATTGACTAATTCGTGGAAATTTGTGTAATATTGTTATCATTACTTCTTCTTATAATGATAACTTTCGTATGACTCTTCAATTTCTCTTGGAGTGGAAAAAGAAAACAACTATAGTAATTATTCCACCATTGCCATGTTCCTGTATCTGTGTAGATCTGTGGTAAAGACCAATTCGTCCATGCTTTTTCAAATTACCCAAACAATATGATATTCCACCTATGAATTTTCTTGGCAAAACCAGTGAAAAACCATCGAATAAAAGGATTGATCATATTTAAAGTAAATGCAATAGATATCCCCATCAACCCAATGCAATATTCCACAACGAGGTATATTTCTTGCATCGCAAAAAAATATTGACATCGTTCTTTTATAATGTAGTCAATGGTTTGTACTTTGTGATGTTAGTACCCAAGTTCCAATGGTGTTAATTAAGTTTATAGGTATTAAGTATTGTAAAAACGTGATTTTAGTATTTTACATTTAAATTGATTTTTGCAAATATTTCAATTTTACAATTTAATAATCTTTTATCAATTGAATTTTATAATTTTACAATCTTTCAAATTCAATTCTTTATACATACTTGGATCCTTTGTCTGATACTTTTTGAAGTTCTGAAATGAGCATGGAAGTTTAAAGTTGGAATTTTGAAGAAAGAGAGCCCTTTCAAGTTCTCAGCTTTCCAGGTAGGTAAACTATACATATCATTTACTCTCTCTTTTTTTCATTGACATATCCAATAGTCTTTCAAGATTTATGAAAAATATACTTTTAATAACTCTATTATTGGTATGAAATACAATATATTACCATGTCCATTTTCTGTTGTTTTCTTAAAGAAAATTCTGGAATATTATAGAAATACTATGAAATAGTAAAATATTAATAGATTATTATTATTTTTATTTAGAATTAGAGTTTAACCACATATAAAAAAAAGACAAAATTATATACATTACCACAAAAAATTTTAATTTTAACTACAAAACAGTACAACAAATATTTATACCAAGTTCTATCTTAAAGTTTTTGGCACTAAAGTTTTTGGCACTAGCCTGAAGTTTCGCAGTTGATTTTTTAATATATGTTTAAAATACTAATTAGAAGTTCAAAAGTGAATTCAATGCTTTTATTATACACGAGGATTAGAATAAACTCCAGTACTAAATTAAATAACTACCTAAATAAGATCCTAATAAGATATTAAATGACTAATTAAATAAGATTTTGATATCATGTTAAATAAATACCTCAATAAGGTTCCGATTGACCAAATCATTGTAAAATATGTTTTAAGTGAAAATTCTGCCGTTATATTATTGTCAGATTACTATAAATAATTTTGTTGAAGTTCATCTAAATTTCGGTGTCGATATCAAGAATCACGACGAGCTTATCTCCATTAAGAAGAAAAAAAAAAGGTCTTGGAATGTTTAGCCAGAAAAAAGAAAAAGAAAAAGTTTTCTGCGAATTAATCATAGTTTATTTCGTAATAAGATGGAAAACAACACATCCACGCATTACACAAGTACATTCCAATATTTATTTAGTTCCTCGTTAAGATTAGAACAATGAAAACATGGAATGTAGAAATAAGAAGTAAGTGAATTTATTTTGACAGAACAATATTTCAATATTTTTCTTCAGGTACTTTTATGCAGTTATGTTACTTCAGGTAACAATAAATTTAGCGTGCCAAAAAGGATCAAAATACAAGCCAATAGAAGAAATAAGAGGCACTGCTCTCGCTTTTCTGATTCTGATCCTCACAACACGACCCTGCATCTCAGCCTTGTCAAGCCTATGAAGCCTCTTGTAACCCACTGTTGTTGCCTTCAGGATCAATTTACCATCCACATAGATTTCATGCCGTTTGATCCTTTGACCAAGTCCAATTGCCTCTTGTATTCTAATCACGTTGAATCTCAAAAAATTCCCTTCCTTCGCGCAAATTTCAATCCAATGGTCCTTTTCACCATCATCGTCCTCTGGGGCCCAATATGACCACAAGTGGTCACTGTCTAGCATGTTTTCTGGTCCGAAACCTCCTCTTTGGCTGCTAACTTTAATAGCACAATCTTCAACAAGATTCTGATGGAAAATAGTGCTAATTGCACTTCTAAACTCTTTCAATCTTTGAGCATCAACATCTGTTATAAGGCCACTTGTATTAGGAGGTACATTGAGAAGTAACACACAGTTTCTCCCAACCGAATTGTAATAAATATCAAGTAACTCGCTCAACTTTTTTGGTGATTCTGACTTATGCCAAAACCATCCCGGTCGAATTGAGACATCACATTCCGCTGGTAGCCAATCTGTCCCTTTTGGATCACCCGTGCTCAAGTACCTGCATTGCATAACCAAATGATCATCAACTCACCAACTAACTCTGCATCATATTCACAGAAAAATTGTGTGGTGTATCTCTATTATCTTAGTGATTACGGTTTGGCATTTCGAGAGATTTGATTTTGGTTCCATTAAATAATATATCGATTATTATTTTGATGTAAAAATAAATGCCATTTAGAAATAAATTAGTTCACCGTGGACTATTGAGTACAGGTTGTTGTTTGAGATAGGATTAAATACGACTCAAAATAAAATGCAGTTTCTTTACTTTACTTCCTTTTCCTCTTTTTGGGTGAAAAGGCACGCGCATTTTCTCATTAAGAAAGTTAGGTTGCAATGAGGCGTCATCATATTCTAGATCACTATAGAGTTCAGTGTCACTAACCATGTGAAAAGGTGTCACTTTTTCTAAGAATGCTTTGCTTAGACGCAGTACTTACTGAGTGATGGTAGCATTTCCAATCGATAGAGAGGTTCGATTAATGGTAGACCAACATGTGTATCCTGCAGAACCTGTTTCTTCTCCCACCCACCTAACATCAGGACCGGCATCGGAGAAGATATTGATGGAACTCTGCAACTCTTTCACCATAAAAAACCAATCTGAAAAGTAATAGGACATATTTTTTGCCTGGGCACCCTTTGCTCCGTCGAACCAAATTTCTCTAACATTTTGATACCTAAAAGAGACATGATATACCATGTGGTTAAAACACGCACCATACAGAGCATTATTACCAAATCAATCGCAGAACACAATAGTAGAATGGGAACTTACTTTTTGAGCAACTCTTGCAATTGAGCCAAGTAATATTGGTTGTAAAGCAAATCATTGCCATATCTAGGGTCATGTCTATCCCAAGGTGAAAGGTAGATCCCTACATCAATTCCCTGCGCAGTGGCTGCATTAACAAAGTCTTGAACAACATCACCCTTGCCACCTTGCCAGGGGCTGCTGATGACAGAATGGTCAGTGTACTTGGAAGGCCAGAGGCAGAAGCCATCATGGTGTTTAGCAGTTAGTATCATCAATGAAATCCCTGCATCTGCTACCACAGTGGCCCACTGGGTGGTATTGAGCGCTGTGGGATTGAAGATTGCCGGGTTTTCCTGGCCAGTGCCCCATTCTCTGTCAGTGAATGTGTTGACACCAAAGTGGAGGAACATTATGATCTCCCTTTGTTGCCATTTCAACTGAGAGTATGTTGGGAGAGGGAGAACTGGCAAAGGGGGAGTTGGGGTTTGCACACTCCAAGAAGTACAAAATCCGACTTGATGGAATAAGAGTGTAAATGCAATTAAGAGAGAAGACCGCCATAGCCTGAGCCTAACCATGATGCTCTTATTGTTCTGCTACTTGCCTTTAGGTACTGGTATTTATATGTATATGCTTGTGAAGGAATGTGTTGTTAAGTGGGCTTATGGTTTTTAAGGGGGTAGGAGTTCAAAATGGAGCACATACAGATGGGAGAAGTAAAGATCCCATTTTGCTTTGCTTTTCATTTTGTTGGGGTCCCTACTTTTCTGATTTTTGATTGTGATCATACGTGTGATACTACCACATATGCATGTCAATTATTCACGGGTTAAATTTCCGGTGCCTGATCACTACTCACGAGCCAAAAGGTAGTGACATTCATTTTAAGCTGTCATTTAGTGCAGCAGTACTGCATGTTCAAGATTAGTCCTTATTTGTGAGGAAACACCAACACGCGCGTTTTTAGGATTCTATTATTTTACAACGACGGTGTCGATGACCATGGAAAAGAGAAAGACTAAGAAGTGAGAAGAAAAAACAAGACATCGAAAAACATGTTTAGTTTGATTTAATTCATTCTAGCTAACAATAACTTTCGAAAATTGAACCAAGAAAACACTCCTAATGCTAAATAAAATAATTTATTATGAATTATCATGTAATTGATAATCAATATATTTTACAATAAAATTTACGTATTTTAATATTAATAACTTTCTATCAATTGTATAAAATATAAGAGGATTTTTTTAAATGATTAAAATGCTCATTTTATAATTGATAGAAAAAATTAATGTTATTTATATACTTTTGATGATTAAATATTAATTTAAGATAATTTTTTGAAAAATAATTTTTATAGAAGATATAATATTTTTATTATTTTTCTTTCATCTTACATAATTCATCTTAATTTTAAATGATAATTATTTTACTATATTATTATTTTTTATTAATTAATTATTTTTATTATTTTATTTAAACATTATTATATTTTATAAAAATTATGGTAGTATTTTTTTTATTAATATGTTGTTATTAATAAATTTATTATATTATAAAAATAATATTTATTAAATTTAGTTGAATATTTAAATTTAAAATTCAAATTTTAGACTTAATCTAATCTTAAAAATATTGATAATTATATATATATATATATATATATATATATATATATATATTAAGAGGATAGAATATATTTTTTTCTTACTGTTCTTTAAACGATAATTCAATATTTTAATTTTTTATAACATTTTAAAAGCTAGTAGGGTTAGAATAAATTTTAAAAGGACATGATTTTATACAGACATTTCAATTAAAAGGTGAAGTATCTATCAAATCGTTTTAAATTTGTATGTTAGTCATTAAATCAGCGTTTAAAGTTAAAAAATTTAATTCGATGAAATTAAATTTTTAAAAATAATATTTTTATAACATAATAAATTTATTAGGATTAATATTTAAAAAATAAAAAATATATTTATAATCAATTATAATAAATATAAAAGATATAAAATAAAAAATAATTAAAATAAGATAAAAAAATATAATAAATTAATTAATGTTTAAAATTAACATGAGTAAGATAAAAAAAACAAAAAATATTATATTTTTTATAAAAAATTGATATTAAAAAACTTAACATTTTTTATAGAAAAATTGATTTGATAAAAAATTTAGTTACTTTTTTTGATTTTATATTAATTTAATTGAAATTTAATTATTTTTACACTTATCCTTTGTAAGGACACTCCTTTCTACCAATTTCTCATGAGGCACTAATGTTTTTTATTTTTTTATTTTTGATTTGACGATGAGTTAATGAGAATGGAAAAAATACTACCTCCACCAAATTATTAGAGCTACCAATTCCACTGCCAATTCTATATATAAAAAAAATTCAAAGTTAAAAATATTTATAAATATTCCACTGGTCATATTTAGTCAATGGACAATTTTTTAAAAATAAATTAAAAATTTATCTTAAAAAATATTTATTTAAAAATATTCTATCGCATCGTATGAAAAGTTCTATCTAATAATCAAATAATAATATTAATAAATATTAATTTTATAATTTTTATTAATATTATATTATTATAATAAATTATTAGATGGATATTTGATTTGATGTCAAATTATATTTTTCTTGTCCAACTCAAATCAAATTATAACAAGTGGGGGAATATATATTGAATAAAATAAAAACAAAGTTATTTTAATAGATAAAACTTGTTTGATGATATTATAAGCATGTATTTAATACATTATATATTATTAAAATAATTTTTTATTAAATTATATAATTTTTAAAAATAATAGATGAAAAAATGAATTAAATTTGTTATAAATATTAAAAAACAAAATAAATAAATAAAAAGTATACAAATATTCATTTGTAATGGATGAAATGATCCTGACTCTAATATATTTTATACTGAGATTTCAGGAATTGAAGTCTTTTTAAATTTATTAGTTGATTAAATTGACAACTCCAATAAATAAGTTGCTTAGTGCTGTCCCCTCCCATTCTCCCCCCAATTTTTTCATTATTTTCATCCACATATATATATATATATATATATATATATATATATATATTTATATATATTTAATACCTTTAACAAAAACACATTTATATTATACAGATACAAATATTTTATTACTATTATTTAGGAGAGTACTATTTACCTAACAAAAAGACATATTTTTGTTATATATTAATTTAAAAGGTCTATAAACAATAAAAATAAAATGTATTTATATTGCGCGTTATTCTAAGATGCACAATGATAACATATTTTTATTATTACTATTAAAAGAATTAAAAATAAGATAAAATAAAATGATAATTTATTACACTGGACAAAAAAAATTAAAATAGCATTCCTTGGGCTGGGCTTGTTATGACTACATTCACTCTTTATAAATTTATTATCTCTTTTATGTATAATGTATCACGCTTCCGTTTTTTTATCAATTTTGTTGTATTTTTTATATATAAAAAACTTAATCTATGATGTCATTACATTGATTATTTTTAGACTTAACTAACATGAGTAATTTTGGATTAGTTAAACAAATTATTTCTATAAAAAAATTAATTTAATAAGTAATCGAGTCTTAATTATAAAAATAAATAAAAAGAATAATATTTAACGTAAGTAAACATATAAGACATGTATCAATTCATCCAAGTGAAAACAATCACAAGAATTTGTATAGTTTTTTTTATAGAAAAAATATATGTTACTAGTATTTATTCATGGTGAATGTGAAAACAGAAAAAAAATCGTCATAACTATTTTATATAAAAAAAATTTATAATATTTCGTGATCTTTGTATGAAATCTTAAATAACACTTGAAATTTTTAAACTATAACTATTACGGTAATTAACTAATATAAGTGAAAAAGTAGAGCGTGGGTTAAGAAACTTGTGGTATATTTATGTAATGGAAGGCACGCTTATACATTTGTCATAAATTTGGTACAAATAAATGAAGATGCAGTAACTTCCACATTACTCTATTGAAATTTTTGGAACTTGCGGTCATTTATTTATTCGGTGTATAATGGTCTGTCGCTGTAAAATGTCAGCCAATTCTTTAATGAATATATGGATGGCCACCACATTTTACAAACTAGAAAAGAAAACATTTTAAGTTTTTTAATTCAGATTTCTTTTGTTATTTGCTCAAAAACTCATTTAAAAAAATCATATTAGATATAATTTTGTTAAGTGTTTTTTGCTTTTAAATATTAAAACAAAATCCTTACACAAATTTGTAAATGAATATAATAATGTCTTCCCTTCAATATATCCACAACCAGATTGTAAATTCACTGTGCGGATCAAACACTTCTTCTAGCACGGCCATATTAATGCAACAGGGAAACAGATCAAAGGCTAGGTTGGTCTTCTTCTTCTTGCACGAAATTTCTAGCCTTTAACAAGGTGCCATTAACATCATGAGTCAGAAACATTGGCCACATAAAACAAATATAAAATGAAAAAGAAAAAGAAAAAGGATAAATTATGAATGTTGGTTCTTTCTACATGGTCAATAACTCTGCCGATGGTCCTCACCTGTCAACTGCTACACCTAACCATTTGCCACATAACCTTTGCCAGATGTTATTTTCTTCTGTGCCCTTATTTACACCTCCTATTTATACCTCTACTTCATGTGCAGGTGCAGACACTATCACCATTACTTTAATTATCGCATAATGGAAGCTACTTCCAACAAAACCCGTGTCCCTCTCTCCCATGCAATCCCCCCTGATCAATTCTCTCTCTTGTCAAAGCACTTCCTTTCAAAACTCTCAAATTTTCTTTGGCCTTTCACCTTCTCACTTGAAACATTCTTACTTGTGCAAAAGTGGGAACTAATGTTTCATTTTGTGCTGCTATGTTTCCTCCTTCTTTGTTTCCTGGCCAAACACTTTCTCTCAAAGCCCTCTCCTATTTACCTTGTGGATTTCTCCTGTCTGAAGCCTCCAAGCCATTGCAGGGTGCCTTTTTCAGCATTTCTTGAGAATGCTTCTATGTGGGAAGTTTTCCACAGTGAAAGCATAGCATTCATGGACAAAATCATCCGTTCCTCGGGACAAAGTGAAGAGACATGCCTCCCCCCTGCCTTGCACTACATTCCTCCAAAGACTCACCACACGGAATCCATCAAAGAGGTGCAAATGGTTCTGTTCCCCATCATGGACGATCTTCTTGCCAAAACCAATGTTTCACCCCTCGATATAGACATACTTATCATAAACTGCAGTGGCTTTTGCCCCTCACCTTCTTTAACCTCTATTGTCATTGACAAATACTCTATGAGGAGTGACATCAAGAGCTATAATGTCTCTGGCATGGGGTGCAGTGCCAGTGCCCTTTGTATTGATATGGCTCAGAATCTTCTAAGGGTTCACAAGAACTCTAACGCCCTTGTTCTCAGCACAGAGATTTTGTCAACAGGTTGGTATTCAGGAAATGAAAAGTCCAAGTTGCTGATCAATTGCCTCTTTCGGATGGGAAGTGCAGCAATCCTTCTCTCAAACAAGAAAGAGGCAAAGAAAACTGCAAAATACAGGTTGGTTAGGACACGTAGAATCCAGAGAGCCTTTGATGACAAAGCTTATTTTTCTGCCTTTAGGGAAGAAGATTCTGAGGGGAAACTTGGTGTGACACTGAAGAGGGACTTGCTTCAGGTGGCTGGTGAAACTCTCCGTGCAAACATCTCCATCTTGGGGTGTGACATCTTGCCACTTTCAGAGAAGCTTCGGTGTGGAGTTTCTGTGATCAAGAAGAAGTTCATCAAGTGTGAGGGAATTTACGTGCCAAATTTTAAGTCAGTGATACAACACTTCTGCTTGCCATGTTCGGGGAGACCAGTGATAAGAGAAATAGGGAAAGGGTTGAAGCTATCAGAGAGAGACATTGAACCTGCTCTGATGACACTGCACAGGTTTGGAAACCAGTCTTCTTCCTCACTGTGGTATGAACTAGCTTACTTGGAAGCCAAGGAAAGAGTGCACAAGGGTGACAACGTTTGGCAGCTTGGAATGGGAAGTGGACCCAAATGTAACAGTGTTGTTTTTAAGTGCATTAGGCCCATAGTTGGGGAGTACAAGAAGGGACCATGGGCAGATTGCATACATCAGTACCCAATATTAGCCATGGATTAAGCATCCTCAGTGTTTGTTATGTTAACATCTGGATTTTAAATCAATATGAATGACTGGCGCATTTCTTAGTAAGCTCTACTTAACATTCTGTTATGAAACTATCATTCAATTCTTCTTAATTTTCAGTGGAATAATGCTGCTGATACAATGTTTAATACAGTTTTTATCATTGACTTTGTATGTTTGCTGCTCCGAATAAACCGTACTCACATTATTGTATAAGAAAGTATATGATTGAAAATGTTATGAATGATATTACCATGAAATAATCTATGCAACATATTTTCTTTTTAGTCATTTTTCTTTTCATATAAATCATGATACGTAATAAATATGTTATTATATTATGATCTGTGATAACTAATATATAAGAAAATAGATAAAATCAGAAATTATAAATATGTATATTATATATATATATATATATATATAATTTTATATTATGATATGTGTAAATAGTATCTAAAAAAATAGGTAAAAACAGTGGTTATATAAATTTCTTGGGGAGTTTTTTTTTAAGATTGTTATTATAATATGTATTTTTGCAGTTTTATATTTTACTTTACTAGGTCTCTTGTTAGTGAAGAGATGTTGTTTTCTTTCTTATTACTCGTTATATTTTTCTTAGCTCCAACGAGGAGCTTCAAAACTTTGTTATACGTATCACTTTGCTTAGTCTGATATGCACCTACTAATTTGAACAACCTGTTAAGTTGAGCATAGTTACAGTCTAAAATCAGATTCAGATTATATATTATGCGTCTTAGTTTGATTCTATTTTTGAGACGAGTCATATTTTCACGCAATATTCCGACAAAATGTAGTATAATATGTGAATATATATTCGTGGTTGATTTCATAGAGAAGGAAGAAAACGAGTTCTGCAGACGAAGTAGTATGAGGTGCACATATACATTTATGATGTGCATATCTTTTTCCTATGTGTAGTAAATGGTACTAAGCAGTTTGAAGTTAGGTAGTTGCTTGCATCATTTATTATTCTGCAGCATAGAGTGATGGCACCGAGTTGGGACTCTCACCACCTCCATTTAAAGTATGGGATTTGTCAGCTTTAAACTACGCGGTGCGAAGTGCAACGAGCAAAGCCTTTTCTCACTTCCTGCGACAGCCATCGTGCATCACAGTATACAACACTCAAGGTTCTTCACATTAGCTCCTCATTCCTTTTTTATTTTGTGTGTGTAGTATCTTCCTTTAGTGGAAATAGAATCCAAACTATTACTTCTCTTCGGTTTGATTCACATTTTCTTAATATTTTTGCCCACTGTCCGAATCAAACTACTTATTCAAGAATGATTTGGTTTCAGTTTTGGTTTCATAGAGATAGCAGAAAAAGTTCCACAATGTTATACTTCATTAACACCATAATTCATTTTGAAATTATGGTTAAGGAATGTTAAGAAATTAATTATGAAACTTTAGACTGTACAAAACTATAACAATACATATTCTAGGATCTTGACTCGAAGCAAACCAAGGAATGTAGGAAAAGGTCAAGAATATTGAAACCAGAGCCAATTCGAGTTCGCGATCACCGTCATACACACTAATTGTCATTTACCATTTTCAAAAACGACACAAATTACGAAGGAATCAAGTACTATGTATGGTCCTACTTAAACAAGAACAAAACGTTGATGGAAAATACAAGTAACCAGAAGAGTAAACATTGAAACAGAAGTTAATTACTTTTTGGGCTCTAAAATCAAGTTTATGGAAGAGAAGATTAGCATTACAATATTAATACAATATGGAGGCAAGCTTGGACACTCAAGTTATAATATAAAAAGGAAAAAACACCCCACGATAGTTCTAGTTACAAATTATATTTGTGACATGTTTAAACAATATTTTTATAAACATTTAAAAAACCATTATTTATAAATTAAAATATGTATATACAAAAATTAAAAATTAAAAGTTATGGATATATTTTAGAAATTAAATGAAGTTATTTTCTCTCTTATTAATATATTTTTTAAAGTATTTACAGAAATTTCATCTAAAGATATTCCTTTGTAATTTAAGATACAATCATTTGGTCATCCAAGTTCTAGCGTTTATAATAAGTGAAAAAATTATTTTGATTTTTTGTTTCACGTTTTATAAAAATGCTTATACAGGAAACTTTTTATTGGCAAAATAAATAATGTATACATATTTTAAAATGTAATTATACATTTCAAACTAATATATTTATCAATTCTAACTACATTTATCAATTTTAATTAGCTTTTTAAACAAAAAAAATTGTTTTTTTTTCTTTTATAGGTTGACTGGGCAATCCCCCTTTAGTGAGTGAGTCAGGGCTTTTAACTAAAATAAAATGAAAAATTATACATTCTCCACTTATTTTGATAAGTTGGTGATAGAATATTCCAAAATAAAATGAATAGATTTCTCCCAATGTGTTTTAATGAGTAAGTTTAATACTCACCACTTATCAAATAGGTCATAACTCACCACACTGATTAGATAGTTTTGAACTCCCCACTCTTCATGAACCTGTGGATTAAATTTATTTGGGTTTATTATTTTGTATAAAAATAAAGGAGATAAATGAGTGGAATCAACAAAGATTATGTTTATTATAGAAAGAGAAGATTTGAAAGAAATGATTAAAAGTTTATTAATTATATTCTTTAGAATTTTATCAATTTTTTATTATAATTATTTTTATTTTATCATTTATAATAAATTTATTGTCACATAACCAATATAATAAATATGAATTAAATTATAACTTTTTTATTATTATATATTATTTTTAGTTATTTATATTATTTTTTCTTATGATAATTTTTTTATTTTTAATATAAATTTATGTTAATTATTATATATATATATATAAATAATGTGTCAATCAATTATATTTTATTATAATTAAATTATATTATAAAAAATATCTGAATCATAAAATTTTGAAAAATATCTAAATCATAAAATTTTAAAAAACACTAACCTAATACATAAATTTATATAATCGATTATATGATTATATTAGAAAAATATTATTATATATAAATTAATATTAATAATATATATTTATAGTTATACGTAATTTATAATTTTTTATCATATTAAAATTTAAATTATATTTAAATGTAAAATTATTTATTTTTAATAATTTTATTGATTTATTTTTTATTATATTTTAATTTTTTTAATTAGTACTTAAAATAAATTTTTATACATGAATTTTAATTGATAATTTAAATTTTTCAAAAAATTAAAATTAATTATATTAAAATTAATTATTTTTTTATAAAATATTTCTATTAAAATTTAAATAAGAATATTTTAGTAATTTAATAAATTATTTTATTAATATATATTTTTATTATTTCAAATCAATCACATTAATTATAAACTTTTCTCTCATTTTTTTTCTATTTTTCACTTTTTTTTAATTTAAAAAAAAATTTAAAAATTAGTAAAAAATATCAAAAATTATTTTTATACTTTATATAAAAATTTAATTATTATCTAAAAATTTATGTATAGTATAAATTAATTACTTTATATTATATTATAATTGATATTTATTTTATCTCTTGTTAATATATGAGTATTTTGATCATTATATATTTTATATAATTATTTCAATTTTTTTTATTTATTCTTATTTTTTATAATTTTTATACTCATTTATCTTTAATTTTTATTTTTATTTTCTCATTCAAATAATTTTATTTTCTATTCTTTTTTCACACCCTCAAATCTAATGGTCAATTCCATGAAATAAATAAAATTTTAGACTCATCTTATCATATAATTAAATCAATCTTAATGAAAACATATTCACTATATTTATTGGTGATGTAATCATTGACAGCCGGTATATCATATAACTCATTGCTTGAGTGGAAAGAGTGAATGGTTTTCATGTGGAAAATTGGAACTGGAAAAAAAATTGACCTGATTAATTGCAGTAGGGGCCATTAGAGCACTGTCTTTCTCTGTTTGTTAATATTAATTTGTACGACTGCCAGCAAGGCTTTGGGTACCTCTGTCTACCTCTTCTTTCATAATAATATTTGTTTCACAAGGTAGAGAAAGAAAAAAAAAAAAGATTTATCGATTTATATATAACCATAAAATTGTTTCTTAATATTGCATAATTACTTAGTACACTAATATCCACTAATTATATTGGATCTTCTTAGAAGTTTTTCAATCTGTGTCATCAAGATATCTAACCACAAAAAATTATAAATTTACTGTGTTGCAGAAAAAGCTTTTGGTGCAAAATTATTACGAACCAACGTGTTTTACACTAATGATTTGACGGAAATCACGGAGTGGGGGTACTATAATCAGCAATTCTAAATGGTATGAATTTTTTATTCAAAAGATGTACTTATATATGATCAGTTTAATTATAAATTAATAAAAAAAAAACTTGACGTTTACTGAAATCGTGGATCAGCGTTTCGTGCTTTGCAAAATCATATCAATGGCCATTTTGTTGTACTACTATAATATTTTCAAAATGAAGTTCGTGGTGTTATGCAACTTTTTGAAAATTAAAAATAAAAATGGTAAAAAAAAAACTGAAAATTTCGTGAGTTCAACTCCAACTCTATTTCCGCAGTTAATTCTCCAAACATCGTACCACGAAAGAAACAATTATTGCCATTTATTTGATCGCTAGAAATAGAAATGAAAAAGCATTAATCAGAGGAAGTAGCTTTCTGCTTTTCATTACTCTGCTAAGGTCAGTAATAAAGATGAAGTAGCTTTCTGCTTTTGTTATACCAGTGGATTCTAGTCTAGCAGATAATTCATCCATATTACTACCACTAATCCTCATTTTCAGGGAAAGACCTTACAGATAATGATTCAAACAACTTGGCTCATTATTTTCTTTATATTCTGTCAAATTTATTGTGTGGCAACTACTTCGTCTGTAAGGAACTTGATATTCAAGACTGAATTCTACATTTATGTTCTGTAAGATATATGGGACCAGTACTATTCCCGAATACTAACTCTTCTAATTTGGTGGGCTTGAATTTAGTGTAAAAAGAATGTTGGTGTTCATACAACTTAAATGCATACATAATCCATTTCAGGAATAAGAAAGATTTTGTAATCATTTTACAAATTAATGTTAATAATTATTTTATATACAGAGAGACTTTGGATCGTGAAATACACTCATTAAACCCTTCGGCTTATAACTCCTTTATATTGAGAAAAAGTAGTACTTTTTATCCACGAAATGTTGTTTACTTGTGGCTAGATCAAGTGTTTCATCTTTAAACCAAATTTTTAAGGGAATTATGTTATTTACATGCCTAGTTTTTGTTCTCCCACAGACATTTCTAATAATTAATTACAGATATCAATGTTACAGTAATGTACATTGAGAAATTGAACAAATCATGTAAGCGACAATTGAAGATTACACCAAAATCATGCAAACAGACTGGTATGCATACTGCAACTCCAGAACATATAATTGAGGAAGTGGGTGAATAATTAGCCACTTAGCTAGGGAATCTGAACTCAGCGGTGCTCAGATATATTACATGCATTCTGTGAAAGTGGGACCCGTCATTAGATTTTTGTGAAAGAAGGACTAAATCTATTGAAAAAATTCTCCTCCGTTGATCCTTGATAGCAAGAGTGACTGTTTTAGACCCATAACTTTGGCTATGCGAGTGCTCATTGCTTTACTTGATCAGAAAAGTTTAAACCTCTGTCAGATTAAAGAAAAGTGGATTGAGTAACTTTACAAGGAGGTTAAGTCCTCAAAAGATATTTTTATTTCCATGTATATTAAAACATACTTCATTTTTTAGATGTGTAAATTCAAAAAAGTTAAGAGAAAAAGAATGTCATAACGAAATCACATCAGGCTTTAGTATTTTTTTATTTTTATTTTTTATGTTGGACAGTAAAGTGTTGTATGATTGTCTGGAAGATGAAGGAAACAGAGAGGTCACATGATGCTACATGTTGGTAAGTGTGATGTAAAAATTGTGAAATAACATAAAGCAATAAAAAAGAATTGGTAAGAGTAAGAGGACCATAGCTACATTAACTTCTAGCACCAACCACAAGGTAGCTCGTATAACTCTCCATTCAACTTGCTTGGCTTTCACAGAACAACCAGGCACTTTTATTACCCGCGCCATGGTGACAGAGTAAAGGTCACACTCTTCTCCCTTCTCTTAAATATCTAAGGCACCAGAACGCGCACATCACAATTCACAATACAATAAACTCATTAAATTCTCTTCACTCATCTTTCTCCCTTCGAACTCGATGTCTAAAAGCCCCTAATTTCCTCCTTCCTAACACGTAACACGCGTCCAATCACTCCAAGTGGAAACCATGAGTCTCATTCTAACAAGTTATCTCCTCTTGTGTTTACTATCATCTGCAAATGCTGAATTTGCCAAGAAGACTTACATCATTCAAATGGATAAGTCAGCCAAGCCCGACAGCTTCTCCAATCACCTTGAATGGTATACCTCAAAAGTGAAATCAGTTTTGTCCAAATCAGTAGAAGCTGAGATGGACGAGGAAGGGAGAATCATTTACACTTACCAAACTGCTTTTCATGGAGTGGCTGCAAAGTTGAGCCAAGAAGAAGCTGAGAAGCTAGAGGCAGAGGAAGGTGTTGTTGCCATATTCCCTGATACAAAGTACCAACTACACACCACGAGAAGTCCTACTTTCCTTGGGCTTGAACCAACACAAAGCGCTAACGTGTGGTCAGAAAAGCTAGCCAACCATGATGTCGTAGTGGGAGTGCTCGACACTGGGGTTTGGCCTGAGAGTGAAAGCTTCAATGACACAGGCATGACATCAGTACCTTCACACTGGAAAGGTGCCTGTGAGACCGGCAGAGGCTTCGAAAAATATCACTGCAACAAGAAGATTGTGGGAGCAAGAATGTTTTACCATGGATATGAAGCAGCAACAGGTAAAATTGATGAGCGAACAGAATACAAATCACCAAGAGATCAAGATGGTCATGGCACTCACACTGCAGCTACAGTTGCTGGCTCTCCGGTGCATGAGGCTAATCTTCTCGGCTATGCTTATGGCACAGCAAGAGGAATGGCACCAGGAGCAAGAATTGCTGCTTACAAAGTATGCTGGACTGGTGGATGCTTCAGCTCAGATATTCTATCAGCTGTTGATAGAGCTGTGGCTGATGGAGTTAATGTTCTATCCATCTCATTGGGTGGTGGAGTCTCCTCTTACTACCGTGATAGTTTATCTGTAGCTGCGTTTGGAGCAATGGAGAAAGGTGTTTTGGTATCATGTTCTGCTGGAAATGCAGGACCTGACCCTGTGAGCCTCACAAATGTGTCACCTTGGATCACCACAGTTGGAGCCAGCACAATGGATAGAGATTTTCCTGCAGCTGTTAGGCTTGGAAATGGAAGAAAGATAACTGGAACCTCACTCTATAAAGGGAGAAGCGTGCTCTCAGTTAAAAAACAATACCCTTTAGTATACATGGGAAATATTAACTCAAGCATCCCTGATCCAAGATCTTTGTGCTTGGAAGGTACTTTGGATCGTAGAATGGTTTCAGGCAAGATTGTTATCTGTGACAGAGGCATTAGTCCGAGAGTGCAGAAGGGTCAAGTGGTGAAAAATGCAGGAGGGTTGGGAATGATTCTCACCAACACTGCGGCTAATGGAGAGGAGCTGGTCGCAGACTGTCACCTCCTTCCAGCAGTTGCAATTGGAGAGAAAGAAGGGAAGGAGCTCAAACATTATGTGTCAACAAGTAAAAAAGCTACCGCAACTCTAGCTTTTCTGGCTACAAGGTTGGGTGTTAGACCATCTCCTGTAGTGGCAGCATTTTCATCAAGAGGGCCTAATTTTCTTACCCTTGAAATTCTGAAGCCTGACGTGGTAGCTCCTGGGGTGAACATTCTTGCTGCTTGGAGTGGAGCCATTGGTCCTTCAAGTTTGCCAACAGACCACAGGAGGGTGAAGTTCAATATACTCTCGGGAACTTCAATGTCATGCCCTCATGTAAGTGGCATTGCTGCTTTGCTCAAGGCTAGGCATCCAGAATGGAGTCCTGCTGCTATAAAATCTGCTTTGATGACCACAGCTTATGTCCATGATAATACCATCAAGCCTCTCAGAGATGCCTCAAGTGCTGATGCCTCAACTCCTTATGATCATGGTGCTGGACACATCAACCCCATAAGAGCTCTTGACCCAGGTTTGGTTTATGATATTCAGCCACAGGATTACTTTGAATTTCTGTGCACACAGAAACTAACTCCATCTGAACTTGGAGTTTTTGCGAAGTATTCAAACAGAACTTGCAGACACTCTCTTGCAAGTGCTGGGGACTTGAACTACCCAGCCATATCTGTAGTTTTTCCACAGATAAACTCCTCTTCAGTTTTGACCATTCACAGAACTGCCACCAATGTTGGGCCTCCTGTTTCCAAGTATCATGTTGTGGTTTCACCTTTCAAAGGCGCTTCTGTTAAAGTTGAGCCAGACACTTTGAGTTTTACTAAAAAATACCAGAAACTATCTTACAAAGTTACGTTCACAACAGAATCTCGACAAACAGAACCTGAATTTGGAGGTCTGGTATGGAAGGATGGTGTGCACAAGGTAAGAAGTCCAATTGTTATAACATATCTGTCACCGATATGAAACTTCACTTGGACTACCTACAAGTTTAGCAGTATTTTTTTTTTTTTTCTTTTTTGGTTTTGCAATAAGCAAAATTTTCTGTACTACGAAGTGTACGCATTTTATTACATGAAAATGCTGGATATTATCTGCTTTCAAGGATGATTTTGCGTGCTAAATTACAAAAAAAAGTGATCAACTAGCGTTGCAGTCCATATGCAGGATCAAGTTGAAAACTGATTAAAATAATCAATTAAATGGGTTTTATCTTAAATGTTGTAGCCACGTGAAATCTTCTGTTTCATCATGTCATATATTAATTACGCAAACTAGAAGAATCTAGCACAGGCGAAGCTGGTGCTATTCATTCATAGCAATAGCTTAACAACACAAGTACTCATGAACGATAAAATTTTTGTTTGAGATCTTATATAGAATGGTGTCTTCCACACCACACCATGACCAACTGTTTCATCAGCACACACTCTCATTAATTGTAACAATTAATTGTCCTACTGGAGAAGTAACGATAACTCATTTACTCGGTCATTATGATGCTTGAAATAAGACTCTTGAAATTCCCTTTTGACGAAACATTATTTAATTAATGACATCAGAGAGGAATGAGAAGGATTTAATTAGCTTTGAGCTGCACATTTAATTTTCAGTTTTATCATTTCTCTTATCACATCATATGCATTTTGAGGAAGACACAATGTTCTCCTTGCATGTGAGCATCAACAGCATAGCTGGATCTAAGAATTTGTGGTCGAAACAGTTCACAGTAAAACTTTTTATATTATGCATTGTGACTCAAAAGAATTCATTAGCATGCAATGGTCGTATAAATCACTTTTTCAATCTTTTTCAGGAAAGTAGTACCACTGTTGATGAATAGTATTTGACAGTCATGAAAATAATTTAAGCATTCACCAACTACTTTTGTTCACTTCTCAACTACTATCGTCAGATACAAAATATAGAGTTATATAAAATTTATTTAGATGAACCATGAAAAGATGTAGAAGGGAATGGGGAAAAAAATACCTAATATAGAATGAGGCCTTTATGTAACAAAAATAAAAATTTAGAAAAATTATGTTTAAAATTTTTTAAGTCAAAAATAATTTATATGTACAAAATAATTTTAGCCATTTCACTCATCTTTTTCTTTCTAAAATAAATTGTCTAAAGAATATTCATCATCTATTACATAATATATATATATATATATATATATATATATATATATATATATATATATATATATATATGAGACCATCTTTCTAAGTCTCACATAAGGAATTAAATTTATAAGTTTACCTCTAAAACTTGTGGAATATATGACTTTTTAAAAACTTGTTTCAATCACTATTGTGATGAAATTTGAAATTTGTGAGACGAACGGTTTATATAAATATATTGGTTAATATAGAGTTATAAAATGATTAAAGTTTAATATAATCTTATGAATCAGGTAAAAAAATTAATAATCTAATTTAATCTATATTTTTAAATGGATTATAATTTTTTATCTGATTTATTCTTATGTTCGGTGAATGGATTAATAAGTCAATTTTAATATGATTAAAAATATTAAATAAATTAACATGTTTATATAAAATAATTAATTAAAAATAAAAAATATATTTTGAATTTAAATTATGTTAATAATTTTTTTAAATATAATTATTTAATATATAAATTATAAGAGAAGATATCCATTTAATCTAAAAAAAATAACAAAATTATTTTTTATTATCAATCATTATTTTTTTAATAATTTACTAATTTAAAATAATAAGTCATCTTCATAAAATAAGTAAATATTTAAAAATTTATTTTATATTTATATTTAAAATAAATAAATCTTTTATTAAATTAATTTATAATATATATTTTTAATAAAATAATATTATTATTAATTTTATTTTAAAAAATATTATTATTCTAAAGTCTAACCTAAATTTATATAAGAAATTAAATTAAATTAAATTTATATTAAATTTTTTAATTTATTTTAATCTATTTATTGAATCTTTCATTTCTATCCAGCAATCTTACTCTCTATTATTAAATTATATTATATTATAATTTATATAATATATTGAGCATAATGATGAAATATCTTTTTAGCTTGGTGTACTAATCATTAGGGCATGCATATCATACTTTTTATGACACTAATTTGTCTCTTAATTTCTTTATTTTCTTTTATATATTATAAAAATATGAATCCTTTCTTGCCCCTGAAGCAAGCTTATCTCTGCAATGAAAATAAAAAATGTGTATATTATTCTCTCTCCCCTTGATTGTTGTGTTTTTTTTGTTTCTTTTACTTTCAATGTATAAATTTTTGTGCATTTTAATGTATACAAGTATTTTCTCTCATCGACTTGGGAACTTTGCCTTAATCTATATTGGGCCTATTCATTTGAGCGAGGGAGTATTGAAGGCCCAATTACGTTATGACTGAAGGCCCAAAACAAGGCATAGTTCAGAATTAGATATTATTTGCATTTAGAGATTAAAAAAAAAAAAAACAGATGGTTCGGTTTGACACTTCAGAATTCATAACTAGAGTCAGAAATGTATTTTTTATAGAGATTTTTTTTTTCTTTTTAACATCTTACCTGTATCTGTTTTGTAATAATTTAACACTAAGTATACTAAACACAAGTATGATATATATATATATATATATATATATATATATATATATATATATATATATATATATATATGTTAGATTTTATAAGAATGGAGCTTAATTTGTTTGTGATATAAATATATGTTTCAAGTTTAATCTTACATCCATGATAAGTTATTTGAAAATATGTTTTGGAACAAAAAAATTATATTAAATAAATTTATTTTTTTAATAAAATTAACAATATTAACTCTTGATGTAATAATTAACACTGAAAAAGATTTGCAAAAATATAGTTTTAATACATTACAACATATGTAATGCAATAATAACAAAAGTATTTATTTAAATAGTTCTATTTTTTTATAAACAAACTTTCTGAACGGTCTCAAATGACCTTTTAAATTAGATATAATTAATGATAATTGAGAATGATAAAAAAAATTAACCGTGATATTAATAAACAAGTTACAAGGTTAGTGTTGATCACAAAAAGAAACAAGCAAATGTTTTGCAGGAACCGTGCTAATGGTCTACGATGGAAGTCTAGAGCAAGGATTTTATACTTTAAGTTTTGTAAGATTCAAAATCAATAAATAAGTGAACGACAAAAAAAACTTATTATGAAAAAAAAGAATTCACAAACATTTTTAAGAGAAAAAACGAAAAAAAAAAACTTAAAAACATATTTACTTATTTAGTCACGTATAAATTCGGCATTTAAGAGATAATAATGGTTACGTGCAAGTTTGAATAATCGAAATTTGTACGTTGATTTAAATGCCATGTGCATTAAACTAAAGGAACAAGTTTTTTTTTTTTTCCCCTGAAAGAGAAAGGATCAAGTTATTTTCTACGCAGAGAAACATTCAAAAAATAAGAATAAAAATATGAGGTTGGCCCATTCCCTCTTATCACATCGGTTATAAAAAAGTAAATAAGAAAGTCAATAGAAAGAGTTATTATATTCAATCTAGAAGGTACATATTTTTGAACTTGCTTTAATAAATGAACCAAAACCTGAGCTAAGTGAACCAGTAGTATACATTAGCCACACTCATGCAAGGCAAGCACACGTGGGTCTACAATTATTGAACTTTTCCGTCTTCAAATATGGAAAAGATTATTGTTCAGAGGATACTTTTCTTTATTATGTATTAATATAATGTTAATGATTAATCATGTTTCTTTATCAAGTACGATTTCAAAGACAAAGGAAATTTCTTTTTCATTTATTTAGGTTGTGAGATATAAAAGACAATAAAATAGTATTTACTAAATTTACATATTGTTTTATTTGCTTATTATTAATTTATGTTTTAACACTACTTTAACTCGTTTTACAATTAAAAAAAAATTAAATTTTTGTCATCAGCGTCTAAAACTTACAAAATAAATAAAATACCATAAAAAATTGTCTTTAAATATTTATTCACGAGTTTTTTAAGTAAAATATTAAATCTTGTTTCAATCAAAGACTGTATGTATTAAAAACTGATACAAATCTGACTTGTGTTGATTTGTTTTTTAATCTTACAAATTTATATTTTTTTCTTTACCAAAACCTTTTTACGTTGAGTGCTATTTTTGTTGTTGTTAAAATTAGGAGTATTATTTCTATTTGTGAATCAATTTAAGTTTGATTCAAGAAATTATTTTACTCGATATTAATATAAAATCAGTTGTATTTAGTAAATATTAGTGGAATTTAAGTTAAAATCCTATATTATATTAAAATGAAAAAAAGTAACATTAATATACAAGTGATAAAAATGCATAATTAATTTTTTTATTCAAGATAATGTTATATTATTTTTTATTATTGATATGTGATCTTATTCATAGATATATTTTAATTATTGTTTTTGGTAAATATTTATTGGGTAAAAAATAAATTTATATTTTGAATGGAAAAAATTATTGTGTATATATTTTAAATTTTTAAATCGATGTTAAAAAAAATAGTTATTAAAAAATCCAATTTAAAATGATGGGCGAAAAAAGTGAAGTAATTTAAAAAGAATCGAAAAGAGGAAAATGTTTGGGTAGTAAGGATAGGCACGTGTGGTGGCTATAATCTGAACAAAAGATTATCCTATTCAGATCATAATTTTGGAAACGATCTTTATTTGACTAAAACACAAGAATCTACCTTCTGAGTTTGATTGATCAAAGAATGTTTTTGACAAATATATATTTTAGTGTAGGCCTATGCAATCTAAACTTGGGTATTCAAGAAATATATTAAATTATTAGAGGAAAAACTCCCATACATGGAACCAAATGACATTTACTCACACATCACAAACCAATTTATTTAAAGATTGAACGAGGCAAGAAGCAAACGAGTGAGGGTGCAAATCAGAAGAATTGTCGTAGCAATTCCTAAAAAAAATGTATTCTTGAGACAAATTAGGACAAACTTATTTACCATTTGAGTTTGCAATCCAGTACCCACCCAAATCACAAGCTCAATATACTATTTTTTTATTATCGAGCTTAAGTTGACCAAAATTAAAAATCAAAATAAAGACAACGTGTCCACATCTCATATCACAAATTGACAATTACGAAATTACAAGGTGAATCAATCAAAACAAAACCAACAACCTCGTGATCATGATATGTGAACACAACATTCCCATCATCACCAATCCAAGGAAACCCTCCTCAAGTTTGAAGAGAAATAGAAACTATAAGCGGGTAACCTCGTTGTTCCTTTTAAAAATATTATAATATTATCATAAAATTTATTGATTTTTTTATTAACTGAATACAAGTTTTGTAAAATATATATATATAATTAAAGTAAAAATGAAAACATTTAGAGATAGCACGTGAATAAGATATCGCAACTAGTAATTGAATGTAAAATGTTTTTATAAAAGAGACAATAACACGTTATAAATGGTATTGGATCCAACTGGTCAAACCTACTTTTGACAAATTTAGCTTCAAATTAATAATTGTGCATATGATAAAAATAAAAACTATGGGAAGAAGTTGTAATAATAATGAGTCTTTTTCCGTTGGCTTTTCCTTGCAACGAAAGAAAAGAGGGAACATGAGTTTATGAAAGATAGGCAATGATTTATTGGTGATAATGTTGATAAGGTAAGCATGAATCATAAAAACTCAAAAGGAACCGCGTTTATGGGTAGAAGAGAGGAGCAGAGAAACAAGTGGGGTGCTTATGGTACTAGTTATTGTGCTTCTGCAGGTAAAACACATATCACAAAGGGGATAACCTCAATCTTCTTCTCCATTTCTATATTTACATGTCATCTCACAACTTTTACCAAAAAAAAAATGTTTTTTTTTAACTCCCTATATTAAATATGTCTTTTTAGTTGAATTTTAGTAGTTGTAAATTAAGTGGTTGGTTTGATAGTATAAATTAAAAAAGCTAAACCAAACATGTTCGGAACGATATTACAAATTTGCAGTGAAAATCAACCTCAGATTAAAAGGAAAAATAAATAATATATGAACAATACATTATAATTAAAAAAATAAAGAGAAAATTTCATATAAGGTTATAGGGTTGTGGTTAGATATTTGTAGAAGGAATGAAGGTGTGTGTTTACATTCCGAAAAAATAATAAGACAAGAATAGAGAAAGTGATGAGGCATGATTGTCTGCACAGAAATTGATCTGTGTGATGTCCTGCTGGAGGAGAAGGAGAGAGCAGAAAAGAAAAAAAAGAAAAAGGGCATTTTGTAGCGTGTGACGTCCCAATCCCAATCAAAAGAAGGCCAACAAAAGTAAGAAACGGTCTGGTCAGAAGTACACACACTAACATTATGCATCCCTCGTCACATTCTCAAAGCATAGACAAACCTCTTTTTTTTCTTTCTAACATATTCATTCATAACTAATAATCCGTTCCTTCCCACAATTTTTCTCTTTCTCACCATGCCCTCTCGACAACTCTCCACCTCATCACCACCTTCCAACCACCGCGTCTTAACCCCTCCGCTACCTTCCACCGCCTCCGTTTGCTCTTTATTCTTTTTACTTTTCCTGTGCTTCCGCAAGCGGAAACGCACCACCCCCTCCTCCGACTCAGATGCCAACCCCCCTCACCCCTTCCCCTACCCCCTCCTCCGCCGCGCCACCAACTCCTTCTCCACGCGCCTTGGCCACGGGGGCTTCGGCCCCGTCTTCGCCGGCACTCTCGCCGGTGATCCCGTAGCCGTCAAGCTCATGGACTCTGCCTCCCTACAGGGCGAGCGTGAGTTCCACAACGAACTCTTCTTCGCGTCCAGACTCCGGTCCCCCTCTCTCGTCCCCGCCATCGGCTTTTCCTCTGACCCCAAACGCCGCCGTTTCCTCCTCGTCTACCACCTCATGCACAACGGCAACCTCCACGACGCCCTCTTGCGCCGCAAAAACCCCCACCTCTCGCGCTGGAAAAACCGCTTCTCCATTATCCTCGACATCGCCAAAGCCATCCACTACCTCCACTCCCTCGACCCCCCCGTCATCCACGGCGACATCAAACCCTCTAACATTCTCCTCGACAACTCCTTCTCCGCCAAACTCGCCGACTTCGGCCTTGCGCGCTTAAAACCCCCAGTCCAAGAGTTCAAAGCAAAACTCGACGAGAAGAGAAAGGACGAGTCCGAGAGCGATGCCGGGTCGGAGTTAGAAACTCAGAGCGTGAACACAGAACAATCATTTGAAGGTAACATCGGGTCGGATTATGTGATGGATTGGATTGGGAAGGAGGTGAAGAAGGAAAGGCCGAAGGCGGTGAATGACGGTTCTTCAGCCTCGACTAGCGGAGTAGTGGAGAAGAAGAAAAGTAGGAAGAAATTGGAGTGGTGGGAGACGATGGATGATAGCGGAGTTTTGAAGAAGGAGAAGAGAAGGGTAGCGAGGGAATGGTGGAAGGAGGAGTATTCAGAAGAGCTTGCGAGGAAGACGAAGAAAAAGAAAAAGAAGGAGAAGAGAAAGGAAAAGGGAAATAAGGATGGTGTTGATTTGGAGATGGGTGATGGTGGCGTAAATGTTTACAAGAGGGAGAAGAACCGGAGTAGGAAGAGTGGTGGTAGTGTAGATTCGTGGTTGAGTGGGGAGGTACATGGAATTGGATGGAACAGCTACGATTCTGGGACTTGCAGTGGAGAAATGGTAGCCAAGAGTGGTGGTGTGAGTAGTACTCCGAGTATGAGGGGAACGGTTTTCTACGTTGCTCCTGAGTACGGTTACAATGGGGATGTTTCTGAAAAGTGTGACGTGTACAGTTTCGGTGTTTTGTTGCTTGTTATTGTTTCTGGGAGGAGGCCACTTCAGGTGACAGGGTCGCCGATATCGGAGTTTCAGCGTGCGAATTTGGTGTCTTGGGCGAGGCACTGTGCCCGGAGAGGGAAGCTTCTAGAAGTGGTGGATGAGGGTGTTGAGGGGTTGGACCAAGAGCAGGCTAGTCTGTGCGTGACGGTTGCGCTCACCTGTTTGCTAAAGTCACCTGCCCGTCGTCCTTCCATGAAGGACGTTCTTGGAATGCTGGGTGGGGAGGTGGTGCCTCCGCAGTTGCCGGTGGAGTACTCCCAACACTCTCGCAATGCTTTCCCCTTCAAGTCCAGGAAAGAAGGCCGGTGCCGGTGACGGTGACTGAATCACTTCTTCGTGTCAAACACGTGCTAACATTTTTCATCAACAGTGACTTATGGTAGTTGTGGAAGGGTTAGGGGGAAAAGTTGTGTTCTTGCTATTGGAGGAACACGTTTTCCCATTTTCATTCACGCTGACTTTTAGGCTTCCCTTGCAAATCATGGTCTCTGCTTTAGTTTAGTGGATGGAGGGCCATCTTTGTAGTTCACATAATTTTTGGAATGGAAATGTTAAAAAAAAAAACGGAAACAAGTCATTCTTTGGTGGTCTTCCATTACTGTTTCATGTTTGTGCTGATTTTGAATTGATTTCGCAATTTGCACAGATCTATACAGTGTTTTACTTTGTCTTGTTTGAAAAGCCTTCTAGAAATGTAGTAGTTCACATATGGGGAATTTTTGGAGTTTTAATTTTCATACAACCTCAAATACACGCTCCCATCTGATAGTGTTCTCATGCTTTATTGAGGCAAAACCCCGTGCTTTGCTCAAGTTGTGTGACTGGTAGAAACATTTTAAGTTACATATTATATGATAAGATGGTGTTACTGAGTTATTCCATGTCAATTCCAACTCCAACCGACCCATGTTTCCTTAATCAATGCTGCAGTAGGTTTCCTTACCCGTGTTAAGCTGTTGCTTTTCTTGTACAAAACTCGTAACTAATAGGAAATAAGTCGAAGATTGAATCTGCTTGCTTGATGATTCTGATGCAGAGAATAATTGTGTATTCTACTCATGGACAAATTTGTAAATGGATTCTGATTCATGATGGCCATTAACGTGGTTCAGAGACGATTTCCATTGTCCAATTAGTCCAAAGATATAGGTTGCCTAAAATAAGATATTGTAGTATCAATTTTCACTTTGCATTTTAAAAATATTTGTCCCTAAATTTGCACTCGGGTGAATAGTAACTTTACTTTCCATTCCTCTGTAAGTATATATTTTTCACCCTGTACCCTTCCATTTTCATAGATAAAGGATTGGATTTAAGCGAGTTATTACAGTATTCGAAGTCAATTTGAGAACGAACCCGTTTCGACGGCGATAAGCACTGGACTGGATGGGAGATTGGTCCGCTTTAGAAAACTCACATGCCGAACATCTTTCATTCTGCAAAGCCCACTAGATAAAATTTTGATTTGTGACCGCAAAGGCCCAAATGTGAACCATTTGCAGTCCTCCAGTAGTTGCACAAAATATGCCCACTGGAACAAAGCCCAAGAGTTTTGATTTGAGTCAATGTGTTAGACATAGAAGTCAGAGTTCTTTTCCCTAATTTGAAAACTCTGATGTTATAAAATCTTTGCAGTTTTACAAAGTATGGGAGATTATAAGGTGTATGGACATGATGTGATACACGCTGTTTCTATTAATATCAGTAATAAGATGATTACTGAAGTTCTTCTTCACTGCTGTACCAACTTCATATTTAAGAGGCAAAGCTAAGATAATGTTATAATTTACGATTTTTTTCATTATTGAAATTTGATTATCATTGTTGAAACTTGATTGTTCTTACATCATTATAATTGTAAGTTCATCTTACATCATATGAAAACTTGATTGTTTCATCTTGGACACATGTTCTAAAGGAAGTTAATCAAGTGACAGATTGATTTCACAAACTGTATTAAGGCTCCAGTTAATTTTTTTTTTTTTTTTTTTTTTTTATGGATTCATTCAAAGCAATGAGCATCATGAACCTTTTGAGGTAAAATATATACCCTAACCTGGTCACTAATTACATATATAAACCCCATGATGGTATAAACCCTAAACATGGAATATGCAAAGTTGGATGTTAATGTGTGAAACTTTTTAGTAAATAAATCATAGAAAAAAAGAGAACAAAAGGGATAGCTAAATGAAACAAAAAATAGTATAAAATGCAACAAGCATTATATATAATCCTAATTTTTTCACTTACATTACTAGACTTTTTCATATTTTGTAAGATTTTTTTAATGTCCTTACAAAATTGATAAGAAAATCTGCAACAAATTCATTTCATATGATTTTTTTATGAAAATTTTACAGAAATGTTCGTATAAAATAAAACCTATTATAATTGTGTTAAACAATTGAGATAACATGTAAAGTGACACGTTTGATATATATATATATATATATATATATATATATATATATATATATATATATATATATATATATGTTCATTTTTAAAATTTACGAGAAACAAAATCAATAAAAATACTTTCAGAAGATTAAAAATTCTTGTTTTATTTATATAAACAAAAACAAATATGCTGTTAAAAATATATCCTTGTAAATATATATGTATTAAGCTCAGCTATTTCAGAAATAAAACTGCAAATTTTATAACTCAAGTACTGAGAAATGAATTAACCATGAAAAACTGCAAATTTCAGAAGTATTTCTGTAATTTAATTTTAATATATTGTTCTAGAAAAAGTCTTTACTAAGGTTAGGATGACATTTTTGAAAACACTTGAGTGTGTTTTAGGTCTACCATGTATCATCTCTCTTTCTCTCCTTCTAATTAATATCGTATTTAGAATAGAGATCAAATCCACACGATAACTTGCTATTCATAAGATGTAGAGATGTTGGTAGCTATATTTTACACTTTAAGCTCATAACATATTTTGTCATATGAAGACTTATCCTGGTATCTCATCTGCATTGCAGAAGTGGAAAAGACCAATCTTTTCATTGGACACTTTGACGACCACAAAGTAGCTAATTTGAGTAAAATGATTTTGAAACTGTCATATTCAAGTATACAACTGCCATAAGAAAGTGTATTAGAAAAAAAAAAAGGAATTTCGTATCATTAAATATAATGACAATAAATTGCCACATGTAACTGCCATAAAAAAACTCAAAAGCTAACTTATCATTTAACAAAGTAGGAAAAAAAAAAAAAACACTATTTTTACATCCTAACATTGATATCAATCAGATTTTTGAAGTTCCGGTTCCTTAAATGTAGAATGTAAAGTTAACTAATTAACCATCAAAGCAGTTTAATCTAACCTAAAATCAACGTGGAAAAAGCATATCAAACCGAAGTGCTTGAAAATATTTGTTTTCATAGTTCGAATATTTTGATCACCTAACTCAGGAGTTCTTAACACAAGATAAATAATCAGATGCTTTATCCTGCCATAGAGAAGCACATGAAATACAATCTGCTAACATATGGAATAATCATACGAAACAAAAGTAACGTATACAGAACCAAATATTAAGATTCTACTTTATTCATAATCTCTTAAAGAATATCAACAAGGTCCTTCTGATCATGATAAACTAGTGGAAAGTCGCTAATAAGAGGTATCTACACATCTTCACATGATGTCTTGAAGGAATTGTTATTAAGCTAAGTCAAGGCAGATTTGCTAAGCTATCTAAATAATTTTCTTCTATTTAACATGTTATCTATTTTATGATTTCTGACTTAATTATCAACATATTCATAATCGGAAACAATGTGAAAAAGTAACTATCTGAGTCAAACCTTTAAGCAAATATGAATGTAAAATGTTTTATATTTAGAATTCTGAGTATGTATTTATTGTGATAATATCTTTAGGTAATATTAGAATTTATTCAGATGTTTGAGATATTATCTCTTTCTAAATTATAATTTATTACGATTTTGGTTTTAAAAGAAATTTTAATAGATTAAAAAAATTATATATATATATATATATATATATATATAAATTAATATTTATTTTGGTTCCTAAAAGATATAAAGAGATAAAATTTAAATGAGATTTTGTTCTTGATCTCATAATGAATACTAAATATTTAAAATAAGAAAAATGGGGAATTAATTCACCTCCTTAAAAATATGAAAATGAACAATTGATATTATTCATCCTTATGTCTTATGTAGTATGTTCCCGTTTCATATCATTATGTGCTTTTTACCTAAACTTTCTTAGTTCCGAGATAGTTTATAACATGGTATAATTGATTCTCCCATAAAAGTCTAAAGATTCATACCATTCTTTTATTAGAAAAAACAAATTTTAATACAAAATAAAATCAGTCTAAGTATTTTGAGATAATGATGTTTCTGTATGTGGTACTTCTAGAGTCTTATTATTAGTAAGTTAACGGATTAACGGATTTTATGCTGTGTAGAGCTGCTGCAGCTTTAACTTTGTTGTATGTGGGAAGAATTTCAAAATTTAACATAAAAGTAATTCAGTTCTAAGGAACATGCAAGACTTAAGATCAGAAGGAAAACTTCTACCAATTAATCACTCAGTATCAGATCTTGTGAGCAATCAATAAACTATAAACATATACCCAAAAATATCTTGAAATTTATGTATTTGTGGACAACAGATTTCTAAGGGGTAATTAACTCTGACATGTAATTAGAGATTAAATGAGGTTATAAAAGCAATGAAACATAACTCTTATCATCAAAATGTGCTAATTTCAAGTACCAAAGACAGCTATCTACACAAGTTTTGTCCTTCTCTTCCCGAAATTGAAAAGGTTCTAAAGCATAGATCAGAGAGGTTTCAATATATATGTATGTATGTATTTATATACACTGAAATCAAATTCAGTCACAAATTAAGAACCAGTTAGATAGGGCAGATATATGGTTTATATATGTTAATTTAATTCAATAAGCAGATTTTGAGCCTAGATATATCGAAACAACAAGTTTTACTCAGAAAGTCTAAAGGATGGAATTACATTGGAAATTTTTCTTCTCAGCTCAGGTAGATCTACTCTGTCGGAATTGTCAACCTGTGAGTGAACCCATTTCATCAATAATAGGAGGGAAAATATAAAATATTAGCATATATATACTTTTTCCACAAGAAAAAACGTATGACATAACGACAAGACAAGAATCTATGCCTGGACTATACGTACATACCTCACACCTCAAACTGTGGAGTAATCTGCCATTGAATTTAGTTGAAAGACAACTAACAACTTCAAGTCCCTCTTCTAAAACTAGTTCCAGCAATTTAGAAAGTGAAACCCCTTCCTCACTGAATCCACTGATTTCAATCCCCACAGCTCCATCACTAGTGTGGTGGACAGTGAAACCGCTAGATGCATGTTTGTTCTTACAGCTTTCGAGGGTGGAATTAAGGGGAAGTTTCTTCTTCAGCTTATCCCTTTTGTCACTCAATTCTTTAATATTCTTTTGCAGGTGGTTTATGTAATTCACTGCCTCGTTCATTTGATCAGATATCGAACGCTTTCCCTGAAACCCCAATAGATAACCCTAAAGTTAATGAACTAGAACACAACCAAGAAAAAAAGAAAGATGGTTAATTAATTGGTTCACCTTGATGAAGGGAAGAGGGAGAAGGGATCTTAGAGAGGCATGAAGGGTTGCCATTTCTTGCCTCCTTTGCCTTTCAATCTCTCTGTGAATCATCTTTTTTGCATATTGTTCTTCGGAATTAGCTTGACTGGTGTTAGCCGCATAAAAAAGTTTGTTGGGGCGGCTAGTACGCAACTTTTTAAGTGAGTAAGCGACAAGGGGAGAATTATCGATATTGTGTTCATCCAGGATCAGATCTTTGGAGATTTTGTGTTGCGGTTGGAGACCATTAGAAAACTGGATCACCAGCTCATTGCCGCGTTGTAAAGGAAACATGGTTGGTCAGCTTGATCAACAAGTACTGTTCCAAATTATTATCCTGAATTTTGGCTAAGGAAACAGTATTTAGTTTGATGTAATTAATGTTGTTTTTCTTGGACAGAGAAGGGGCCTCAGATGCCCAAGCCAAGATTCCTCCCCTCATATAACTATCTATCCACGCAGGAAAAGTGATAGTCTATGAAGACTGACCTCACAATCGGTGTAATTATTTGAGGCCACTGTTCATATCACAACCCCACCTATTTACGTTCACATAATAACGTAACTCCTACTTAATTAAGCACCATACATTCTATTCATGCAAATTTCCTTAAAACAAAAAAATTTCAAGAATGAGCATAGAAGATAAAAGTGAAAAACTAGTGTTTTTTTCAATCATGTTAATCTATCTATGCATGTATGCCTAATTTCTATAAAAAAATAATTAGTTAAATTTAGTAGAACCTTTCCTTTTTAATACCTAATTTTGCCAGGGAGAAAAGCTAGTGGTATAAGGAAAACTTTTTATTCAGAACAGTGATACATTATCCTTTTGTTTATTTAGTTTTTTTTAATCAATTTAAATGATGTATTCAAGGGGGAGGGGGTAGGGGTTGGTGAATTCGGACACCCTACCTTTGTATAGGTCTATCAAAATGCAGCAAGTTTTATTTCTTAATTTGAATCTCGATTAGTTGGTCAATAAAATTAATTAATGTCTTTTTTTTACTTGCCCCAGCTTTAAAAGCTCGCAAGAAGACACATTATTCTACAAATTCAAAGGATATTTGAATAAACTATATTATTCTAATCAACCATTAAGTTTGTCTTTTCTTTCTTTAATTTCTGCTAAAATATCATGTACTCTTATAATGCTAAATCTATCTAATATATATATACCAGGTTTAGTTTTGGGTTATTAATTTATTATTCATTTTTATATTCGATAAGATTTTTAAATATTCAAAATATAAAACCTTACGAGGATTAATGCTTCATGATCACAACTATTTCATACAATACTTGTATATATTGATTGTTACTTGTAATGAGAAGTGGGAGAATGGAAAACAGTAAATTACGTTTGTTTCATTGAATTATGAAAATAAATACTAGTAGGACCTATGTTATTATATTTTTTTACTCATTTTTTTTATTTCTCATTAAATCAATCAAGTTATATAACTTTTAAAACACTTTATTTTTATTTTTCTAAATAATTAAATTTTTGATTTATTTTTTATATATGTTTTTAACTTATTTTCTATTTCCATCATCTCTACATTTTTTTCCTTAAATTTAATAATTTATTTTTATTTTATTATTATTATTATTATTATTAATAAAATAAGAAAACAGAAAATTAAAAGCCCTCATAATATTACTTATGGGCATAAAAAAAAACACATACTTAAATTCAAATTATCGTCAACATACCTATAGGTGTACAATTTTTTCCATTTCTTAATCTTTTTTTATAAAAAAATATATAGACATATAATAATACGTTTATTATGTTAAAATATTAAACTTACTTATAATTAATAGTTAAATTAAAATATTATTATTTGATTCAATCAAAATTTTAAAAATAATTGCAAGATAAATTCCTATAAATATAAAATATTTATCACAATCCTAATTCAATTTCTTGTTTCAACAGTAACTTTTTGTACATAATTCTTTATCTATATTATTATATAAAAGTTGTATTTTTAATTATTTTATATTTTTAATGAAATAATTTTTTTATCAAATAAAAATAATTTAAATTTTAATAAAATTAATAATAATACATTTTTTTACTAAAATATAGCCGTACGGTAGAATTTCTTAAAATTAAAATTACTAACATTTTTCTGTTGACATGATTTCATTTTGATTAGATATCTTAATAATACATAATATATCATTTTATTTTTATATTTATTTTTTATATAATCAAAATGTACTATAAAATAAACTATTATTTAATTAAATTATTATTTCCACACAATAAATAATACTATATACATTTTATTTATAAATAGATATAATTAAAGTAATATATATATATATATATATATATATATATATATAAAATAAGATGATGTGATAAAAAAAATACAAACTCATACGCAATAGCATTAATAGAAATATATTTTGTTTATACAGCATTATTGACAACACTCTTCAATTTATTGTAAAAGAAAGATAACCATAAATATGATATCAATAAATAACAAATTAATCATAAGTTGTTTATAATTAAAAGTTAATATTTTCTTTTAATCCATCCATATTTCTTTAAAGATAAAATTATACTAAAGTTGAATTTAAATTAAGAAAAAATATATAACAATTTAGATATACAATTAACTATATCGATATTGTTAGTATACTTATAAATCAAAATATTAATATTATTTATAAAAGAAGTACTTTATCTTTTAATTCTCTACAATACATTAGATATAATAACTGACACTATGTTATTTTGAATATTCAATTATTATCGCAATAAATATTTTAACAAGAATCATCTTCGTACAAAAATATATTTTTAAAGCTTGACCGAATATTATTCTCGAAAACCATGATTTCAGGGTAATATTATTTTTTGTAAGATAAATTATTTCTATACCAAATATCCAATCCAAGTAATTTAAATTCTCATATAAAACTTGAAAAAGGAAAAAAAAAAATCTTATACCAATTTATCAAACTCCTCCGTTTAACTTATCTATACTTTGGTACGATATTTTATAATTTATTTTTTCCATTTCAATACAAACTATAGATATACCTGAATACAGGTGCAGAAACACCTGTGAGCATTATTATTATTATTGTTATTTTAATTTATTAAAGTTTAATCAATAATTATAAATTATTGAAGATAAATAAATCGTTAGACAGAATTTCAACAAGAAAAAAAAGTTAAAGAGAATATGTAACTAAGAAATGACACTTTTTTATTATTTTATATTGGAGAGAAAAATAAAAAATAAAAGACACGTATACTTAAATTTTTTTGATATAAATATAAATTATATTTTTTCATTATCCGATAATACTAAAAGGAATTAAAAAAAGAATTCATTGATATAAATAAAAAAACATGGGACAAACTAACCGCTATAGGAACTAATATCGTTGTAAAGAAGGAATGAAGTTAATTATGGGATATCGCATGAATATATAAAATGATAATTAGTGGCTGTAACGGTGGTTACGACTCAATATCTTGTACTGCGTGTTCATCACAAATTCAGGTCAAAAGTTGTGGCTCCTCGGATTAAAATATCCAAACAAACACTCCCACTAAAAACATTCCCATCTTCAATTCACTTCTTCTTAGGTAAAGTTGTGACTTTGAAATGAACACATATGTTCAAAGATAAAAAGTACTAGTGGAAATGGAATTTGAGGACAAAATTTATCAATTCACAAACCAATAATGGCCCATGGAAACAATGACTGGGAAGTTACAAATAACAAAAGACACATCAAGAACCTAAAATTAATGTTTTTAAATTGAATAGGTTATTAACTATATGTTTTCGGATATTGAATAGGTAATTGAACTATCAAAGATATTGATTATGTAATATAGTTAGATTAATCTTTTTCATTAATTAGTTTAAATAATTTTTTATATTGTATAAATATTTTGGTAGATAATTTCAAACATAATAAAAACTCAAACCTTGTTTCATTATGGTATTAAAAAATAATTTCTTCTGCTAGACTAACTTTTTATTACTATAATTTGTTTTTATTTGTATAGAATGAAATAACTTTGATTTTGGTCATTGTAAAAATGTTTTTTTTTATTTTTTTTCCTCTTAAGTTTTAAAATTTTAATTTTTAATTCTTGCCAAATGAGCAAATTTTTCTTTTAGTCTTTATACAATATTTTGATTTTTATTCCTTCAAAATTTATTAACATTTTGTCCTTAATAATATAGAGATAAAAACTAAATATATATTTTTCGCATAAACTAAAACAAAAATCCACTCACTTATAAGGGTTAAAAATATTCAAGTAATTTAATTAAACCAACAAAGTCTAGAACAGTTGAAACTGCTAAAATACTCCTATAATAAATGAGAGGTATATTAGCCATTATCATCTTGAACAATGATGACTAAAACTGTAAAAAAGATAAAGATTTTGTCGTATTTTTTATGCTCTTAATAATTTTTTATTAGCGGAAAATAATTTTTAGTATTAGTATTATAATACGAATTATGAAGATAAAATAAAACAATTTTAATTGGATAATAACATGAAGAATATTTATAACTAGCTTTATGTCCTCCGGATTTATCGTTGTCCAGTTGTCCAGCGACAGGATGGATGTGTCTCTCAGACATTAGATTAAGGTCAGACATAAGACGGAATCCTTGGCCCCTCAAAGATTACGAACCTTAACAAACATATCTACTTGGCCTTTTATTTATTATTGACATCTTTAACAACTCAAATCCATACAACTCCTATAAATAACTCTCTTTTAATATTATAATAATAGTTTTAATTTATTTTTATTTTTTTAAATCATTTTATAGATTATTATATTAATAAAAGTGAGTTGTTTGAAGGATTGTATGGTTTCGATTGTAAAAATATCACCGCTTAATTATTAAATATGGGTAAATAACACTCACTTGTCTTTGGATGTCCCTTTGGTACCCCACCAACAACCATAATCCTATTGGATGGAAATGTTTAAGACATAGAAGAGGCATTTGTCTTATCTTTTGTATAATAAGAATATTTTTCTTTTCAAGGTAACAAATTATAAAGATATTTAAAATTCGTGTTTAAAGGGCCTTAGTTTTATTATTCCACATGTTTTGTTATGACATATTTGTTTATCTTACTATAGGTCACATCACCTACACCAAATACTATTAGAGAACTATGAGCTAAACAATTGCAAATAAAGACTAAATTAATTCACCAATATATGAGAAACTAACTTTTTATTCCATTAAATATTCTCCCTCATTTTATTATGTATGACGTT